TAATCATGTGTTATCAAGTCAATTCTGACCTATATATTTACTACAGGCTTGCAATACAGATGAATCATAAAAAACAAAAATAAAACAAGTGTATTTTGGCAGCTTTGAAACTGATGGATTTATTTCAGTGTGAACTTTTGTAGATCACAGTCCACAAAAGCTCACACTGAAATCAATTTATCTGAAAGTTGCCAGAGTATTTTGGGTACTTATTTATTTATTCTTTTCTTATTTCTGTTGTAATGGGCACAACAAAAACACAGCTGATGTTTACCCATGAATTCCCATTCTTTCCTTTGACCTCTCACCTTTCAATAATTATCTTTTCAATGAAAGTCTGATTATCTAATTTTATAGGATTGTTTTCACTGTTCTGACTTGAAACAATCTAACTATAACAATCTAAATATAGGAAACACTATGTTCCTATATTTTACATACTGAATTGTGAAGCAAAATCTTAGTACATTATAAATCTTATAATAAATATATATCAGTTAAAGTTGTTACGGATTTCTGTGTAGAGAATTCTAAAGTTGCTTCCAGAATGTGTATTTGTTATGATATTTGTTTACTATGTAACACAATTATGTTTCATTCCACAGAAAGGTTGTGGCTATCACCTTGATCTGCTTATGGTTGGCATTATGCTAGGTATATGCTCTATTATGGGATTGCCATGGTTTGTAGCTGCAACTGTACTTTCCATAAGTCATGTCAACAGTTTAAAAGTAGAATCTGAGTGTTCTGCTCCAGGAGAACAGCCGAAGTTTCTGGGTATACGTGAACAGAGGGTGACAGGATTAATGATCTTTGTTCTGATGGGACTCTCAGTGTTCATGACCTCTGTATTAAAGGTAAGGAAAAACAACTTTGTTTTGCAATGTTATATAAGCTACACATGTTCATGATTTGTATTTAATAGGGGCCTGGGTGAGTTGTTCTTCCTTTTGCCAAAATCTGCCAAACATTAGTAGAAACTTGTGCCTTAGACCAGCAGACTCCAAACTTTTGAGCCTCGTGGCACAGTGGTTAAACTGCTGTACTGCAGCCAAAACTATGCTCACAACCTGGGGTTCAATCCCAGGTAGCCAGCTCAAGGTTGACTCAGCCTTCTATCCTTCCAAGGTCGGTAAAATGAGTACCCAGCTCACTGGGGGAGGGGCAATGTGTAGCCTGCATAGTTAACTTGTAAACCACCCAGAGAGTGCTTGAAGCGCTATAGGGCGGTATATAAGCAGCACACTTTGCTTTTGCTTTCCTTTTTGGAACCACAGACTGGTTGGGGGGGTGGGCTCATGTGCAAGGGGGGTGGGGCACCCCTGCACTCACGGGTGGGTGTGTCGCACTCGTGTGCACACGCATGAGCATGACACGTCCCCACCTCCCTGTGCATGGAGCCCACCGCCCCAGCTGTTCCTTCCTGGTTACTCCCCCTCCCGTCACCCAAAAGCTGGAAGAAAAGTCGGAGCTCGCCTGCTACGAGAGAGCTGCCTCGGCGGTACACGCCGGGCCGCATAAACCCGGAAGGGAAAAAGCCGCCAGTCCAAGCTGCCAGCCCGCTGCTCCCTTGGGTTTAGCGGGATCCACGCGTTTGCAGGAGATGAGCTGCACAGACAGGAAACTCCCTGACCTAAACAAACTGTGTTCCTCCAGAAGGAAGAGTTGCCTCTGGGCAGCCTGCCCTTTTGCAACCCCGGCTGCCTCACTGTTGTTCCTTCAAAGGCTCCCCTCACTTTTGTACCTTCACTTTCTCTGCTCTTTTCCCTCGATCATTCACCAGAACTGCCACCTCCCTTTCTCCCCCTCTTTCGTTCCTTCTCTTTCCCTCTCTCCCTCCGCCCTCCATCTCCACAGCACCCTTTAGTAAAACAGGCTGAAAAGCACACGCACGCACGCAAAAATGTCCACCAACAGGCAGCAGAAGGGCAAACGGATCTTGGTTGCCTATATGGCACAGACTGCATTTCCTGTCAGTACAGATGAGAGTTCTCTGGCCTGAATTTACCGAGGCAGGCAGGAGCTGCATTATTTAACTCCTTATGCCTAACGGGTGCAGGGGCAACACATGGAAAACTGGAGGTTTGTTCCAAACAGACATAAAAAGTTCAAAGGATTGGTTGCTGATGCTGTTTAAGAGTGTTTGCCACTACTTCAGATTCAACATTCAGCACCCATGAGGGCCACACACACACCCGCGCGCGCGACATGCCCACCATGCGGTGGGGGTGGAGATCCGTCTCTGTCGCCCAGTCCTGGCAAGCCCACGGACCGGCACCAGACCGTGAACTGGGGGTTGGGGACCTCTGCCTTAGACAAGAGAATTGTATCTATATGATACTAACATATATTTCTTGAGTTTTTCAGAGTAAAAGTGGTTAATTCAATACCAGAGACAAGTGTTTCAAAAAGCCTTTAGGATGCTTCCAATTAAACTGGGTTATTAACATTAGTTTGCAGTCTTCCTGGTTGTCTTTTTAAAAACGGCTTTGGTGCTAGTGGAAGGAGATTTCAGAGTCTGAGTGCACAGAAAGTCCTCAAGACTCTGGAAATCTCTACCTGAGGAGACTAGGCTTGCTTTCACATTACAGTACTTAGTGCATTTGACGGTCCAGTGCCTCTCCCCCTCTGGCAGATACCCACTCAGAAGCAGTACCCAGAGGAGGCAGAATAAACACCTGTTGTGGTGGTAAATGAACCAAGACTGTAGCGGGCCACTCTCAAGCCTCTACCAATCCAGGCCTCTTAGAGTGCTCACTACCTCTCACCAAAACTGCTGCCACCAACCTATCCTTTAAATCACTGGTTCTTAACCTTGGGTTACTCAGGAGTTTTGGACTGCAACTCCCAGAAGCCTTCACCACCAGCTGTCCTGACTGGGGGTTCTGGGAGTTGCAGTTCAAAAGCATCCGAGTAACAAAGGTTAAGAACCACTGCTTTAAATCACAAGGACAAGTAATTCTTTCAAAACAAATAAAGTGTTTATTGATTACACAAAATAAAAGGAGTAAATCACAGGTATAAAATCAATTTGTCAATCACTGTTTATAAGACACTAGCTCACACAGACTTTTCCCTCACTGACAGGCTCTTTCTCACTCTCTATCAATCTCTCTAATCACTCATCTTCCAAATTGATCTCCCCATCTCACACATCACACACACCTTATATAACCCAGCTCCTCCCACTTCTGCACCACCCTCCGTCCTCTCATTGGCTGAGGTTCCCCTGCCCAGCTGTGACGGACAGGTAAGAGCAGAGCTGAATGCCACAAAGACAAACTGCCATACCGGTGGTTCATGCTCATCTATACTTGCGACTTTTAGCTAAACCTGTATAAAGGAAGTATATCAACTGTAACTCTGTATGTCCTGGCCTAGGTTTCTCCTATCTCACCTAGCAGAGTTCATTATTCCTCAGAGTCTTGAAAAATCTCTTCTGGAATTCCATTAGGTAAAGAGAATAAAAGCAGAAAATCTTGCTGTATGTTGGCTGTCTGCCTTTCACTTCCCTCCATCTGATTTTTAATGTAACACAGGGATAGACAACTAGGAATGTTCTTTGTATTTTGAAATATACAGTGGTGCCCCGCATAGTGACGTTAATCCGTTCCAGGAAAAACGTTGCTATCCAGAATCGTCGCTATATGGAATGAAAAACCCCATAGGAACGCATTAAACCCCGTTTAATGCGTTCCTATGGGGGGGGAACTCACCGCTATGTGGAAATCCTCCATCCGGCCGCCATTTTCGCCGTCCAGTAAGCAAGGAAACCGTGTGAAAACGCTGCAGGTGGCCATTTTGTTTAGCCGGCGGCCATTTTGGAACCGCTGATCAGCTGTTTTTAAAACATCGCAATGCAAAGATCGGTAAGCGAAACGCTTACCGATCATCACAGTGCGAGTTTCGGCCACTTAAAACATCGCAATGCAATCGCTTAATCTGCATCGCTATGCGGATTCGTCGTTAAATGGGGCGCTCGCTATGCGGGGCACCACTGTAGTTCAATTGAGCCTCAATCAGCAAGGCTAGTAGTGAGGTATTATGGCAGCTAAACCTATGGAGGGTGCCAGGCTTATAACACAAGGAACTGCTGCAGATATTTGCAGGCTTATATGTAGCATTTAGTTCAACTGTGAGAACAAAGAAAAGTGAAAGAGTGAGGAACTGAGATGGTTGTATTTACCCTAATAATACTATTATAGTGGTGCCTTGCTAGATGATTGCCTTGTGGGACGAAAAACCCGCAAGACGATTGGTTTTTGCGATCGCTATGGTGCCTCGCAAGACATTTTTTCCTTTGACCATGCTTCACAAGACTTTTTTTTGAGGCCGATGCTTCACAAGACTTTTTTTTAGACCTTTTGAACCTCACAAGACGACGATTTTCACGGAACGAATTAAAATCGTCTTGCGAGGCACCACTGTATGTGCCATCAAGTTGATTCCAACCCTAACCCTGTCTAAGTTTCTTAGCTATAGAGTACTCAGAAGTGGATTCCTGTTCCTGTCTTCTGGGGGTGCTCTGGATCCATGTAACTTGTCCAAGACCCACACTGACTGGCTCTTCTTCCACAAGGCATAGTGAAGTATTGAGCTCCCAATACCTAACTCTTCAACAGGAGCTCCATCTAACTAGGCTATCTCGCCAGTATATTTACCATAGTTGCACTTATATTTTTTCAATATCTTTAATGTAGAATTTCTTGAAATCTTGAATTGAGTTTACATTCATTTTCTGCTTTTAAGGTATGAAATTTTTCAGCTAGAATTACATATGCACAGCTAATTGTGAAGTCCATGACCTATTGTTGGATTCTTTTTCTTTGTTCTTTTTTCCAATGTGAATCAAGCACCCCAGTCTGATAATTTTGTTTTATCATTTGCATTCCTTAAAGGTTAGTTTTTGAGTTTAAACTTGGTGATTTTCTCCACAGTTTATTCCAATGCCAGTTTTGTATGGTGTTTTTCTCTACATGGGAGCATCCTCACTAAAGGGCATTCAGGTAAGTTCTGTTTTAATTATGTACAATCTGAAATATAAATTATAAAAAGTTTGGATTTCACTGTCTTAACTTTCCCAAAAATGGGTGATGCCCAGAACAGAATTGGGCATGACAAAGAGTACTGTGGTGAGATGGAAGAAAAGCTTAATATCAGGTGAGGCATATTTTGTACAAGCAGAGTTCTGAGGGCAGGTGAAGGACTCCAACGAAAATATAAACATGTTTGTAGAGCTTCCCTGCTCACTTGTCCCAGCATTGAAAGCTGAGATCAGCTAAAGAAAGCAGCTTAAGAGCATAGAAATCTTCTTATCTCTGTGACCTAGCTAGAGACATGTTTGCTGCAGTAGAAATGTTCACTCTCTAAAATATTTGTACATATTATTCATATTATATTATATGTTTACGTATATTTGAGGTAAATATACATTATTATTATATTATATATTATTATAAATAAGTAAATTTACAACTAACAAAGTGCAAAAGTTCTGATACATTGTTGCAGTTCTTGTAAATTAATACTTGAAGTATTTGACCCATGGAATCTAGGCAAATATTGTTGCAGATTCAAGTGACAGTTTACATTTCTGACATTTTTACATTTGCCTGAGGGATAATATTCAGTTGTTTTTTAATGTAGTTTTTTGACCGTATCAAATTATTTGGAATGCCTGCCAAACATCAGCCCGATTTGATCTATCTGCGCTATGTGCCACTTTGGAAGGTCCACATATTTACAGTAATTCAGCTCACTTGCCTTGTACTTCTGTGGGCAATTAAAGCATCAGCAGCTGCTGTTGTTTTTCCTATGATGGTAAGTTTACCATTCAGATTTTTTTTCCAACTATGATGCATTATTTCAGCATGTACAGCGGAATGAAATCATTTTATTTTCTCAAACAATTTTTATGTCATGCTGTTATGCTTCATGTAACATAATCTGTGTTAGTTATGTTTATTGGTGTTCTGATCTCTATGTGATTATGTGTCATTTTTAAAAATTGTTTCAAAGGTTTTAGCTCTAGTTTTTATTCGGAAGCTTATGGATTTGTGTTTCACCAAGCGGGAGCTCAGTTGGCTTGATGATCTTATGCCAGAAAGTAAGAAGAAGAAGGAAGATGACAAAAAGAAAAAGGCAAAGGAAGTAAGTCTTAATTGATATTTATAACTAAAAGTATAGTTGCTTTTGAAAGAAAACATTGGATCTGGACTTAATCATACTTATAGTAGAATACTGAAATCAGTGGGAGTGGGACAATAAAAGCATGACAGACTTGTCTCATTTATTTCAGCGGAACCTTTCTGCAGTTTTCATGATACTTCATTTGCTTTCCCAAACTTGTGAAGTTTTAAAATCTGTGCTAGTATATGGAAAATGGAATTTAATTTCTATGGGTATGGTTGGTTTGATAGAGAAGACTTACACATAATACATTTGAGAACTTAATCTCTGGCTTTCTATAAAACTGATATAGATTATATATTTAAGAGCTCTTTTCACCACATCATATATTGCTCTGAAATGTCTCCTAAACCTTGTGCAGACTTTTCAGGGTAGGGGAGGCTACCAATGGAAGAAACACCTGAAAAGCCCCAATGCATGAGCTGGACTTTGCAAGTAGTGTTGGGAATCCCACTGCTTATAGACATGATCTTAGTGAATATAAGAGGCAGAACATTAACCGTCTAATTTCATCTAGACGTAAATACAAGCTACAGGAGCCATGTTAATAAATCATCAGAAAATACCTTGTATTCAAAACTTTAAAGCTGTTGGGGCCTGCAAATACTCAGATTTTCTCTAAAGCCGACTTCAAGTTAGTATTAGCTGCTGTGCAATAGGAGACATTTCCTTACGCAAGTGGTAGGTAGTGATGTCTCACTGCAGGGAAAATCACAATTTAACTTGTTTTCATAATACTTTACCATTGTACAACCAATATGTAGGCATGTATAGATATCCCAGTTGTTAGGAGAATAGTGACGTAGATGGTTGTGCTAAATCTAGAACTTTCCTATGGGCACTTTAAATATTCACGGTTCATAAACAATGTCCAACTTTGTTTGGTGTCTGTCTGGCTGTACTTTCTACTGCACATTTTGCATGTTTGTTAGTTATAGCTTCCAAAAAAGTGGGTGGGGGGACGGGGACTCAAGCTCTACTGCAGGCGTGGAACTCTTCATACAGTGCTTCTGCTTTATGTCCTGAATACGAAGTAAGGGCAGGGCAGTGAGTGGAAAATATTGTGCAGTTAAGATGCTATAGCAGTAACCAAAATATAGTAGTTGCAGTAGCTCTGTATTGAAAGTAAGTTTTTATACAAGGCCTAGTTTAACATGCCTTGTTCATATTTCCTAAATTTGTATTGGATAATGTGTAACTTTCAGGAAGCTGAACGAATGTTTCAGACAGTGGACAGTGAAACTGTACACCTTCCATTTGAAAGAGGCGAAGTGTTACAGATTCCTGTGAAAGCTCTAAAATACAGGTGTGATATATACCTACTATTTTTGATAAGTTTGGTTGTTATATAGTTCTGTATCTAATATTTCATTTAATATTTATTCTAACAATGTTGAATGGACACTGACATAAAGATCTGGAATTCACCTACCTGAGAAAGAGGAATGAAAAAGTTGAGATGTCACTATGTCTTAAATGTAGCTGTGTGTATTAAATTATATCTCATTCACATAACCCTTTTGAACAGATCAGATGATTCACTTTCAACCAGCTGTTCTCAGGGAGAAGACGCTCCTTTGGTCAGTTCTGCCTAGTCTGTTAACTGTGCATGGTTAATATGGAAAGCATTAACTAAGCCATATATTTACCAGCTACTTAAGACCAGAACAAACTTTTTTCACTCCATATAGTAATTAATCTTTGCACATAAAAATGTTAATCTTTTGTACTGAGAAAATAATGATAACACAACTGGCAAAGTTACTTTAAGTTTTAAAGTTAAAACTTTTAAGCTATTTCAAATAACACATGTGCTCATTTAAAATTACTTTTTAAGTCCAGTCTTCATTATGAGTCAGTCTGTACTTCAAGACTTAGTGGAGTCTTTTGCTTGAAATGAGAGAGAGGGAGTAACACACATGAAGATAATTGTGAAAGGGTAATGCTTTTCATAACACAAGACATTTGTTCCATTTATGTTCTAAACTATCCAGGATTTCTCCCCCCTTTTAAGTTGGGACAAATACTGTATATATCTAGTTTGCTGCCAATTTTTCTATTCTCTGCAAGGGCTGTTAAAATAAATATACGCATGTATTAAAATCTTTTTTACTTTTTTTTTCATAGAAAGTTAAGTTTCTAGGTCTATAATCCTTAGCCCATTATTCCAGGAATCTCCTTGCTAGCACAGAACTTAAGAACTGCATCATTAAAATCTTATTCTTTTAAGATACACTCAGCAAAAATATAGCCGTATCCACAGGTTTGCTTTGCTAAAAGGTACATGCCACATTTTTCTTAAGGCTTTCATAATTAGGAGAAACTTGCACAATAAATTAAGGTATAATAAAAGGTGTTTTGTTTTCTCTTAGTCATCATGAGCTACTTGTGGAATTACCTTTCAATTTATTGTAGAAATTTGGTTTTTTTAAGCACTGTATTTTGCAAAGTACCATTGCATAAGGTACACTCTGAGTAACGAAACATGTGACACGGAAAATGAACAGCAGAGATACTTACAGACACCTTTTGGTTGTTTGTATGTATGCTCCGAAAGAGAAATTATGAAAATGTAAAAGATATTCAGGTTTTTAAAATAGCATCAGTTCTCAAAACAGACTTATTAAGGTTAACAGTTAAACCTATTTTTCTTATATTAGACATGTATTTTAACTGTGAAATACTTACTGTTACATAACAGTGATCTGGAATGTAATATATAACATATCACTAGTGGCTGAGTAAATAGAAAACCTACAGCTCAAGTGAAAAACAGCATGATACATAATTAATGCTACTGCAAAGCATGGAATACTAATGAACGTGTGTTTGTTGTCTAGTGTTGATCCTTCTGTTGTAAACATATCAGATGAAATGGCCAAAACAGCACAGTGGAAGGCTCTTTCCATGAACACAGAAAATCCCAAAGTAGCAAGATCTAACACGAGGTAGCTTCTAATTGCTTATACTTTTCTGATTCTGCTTTGTGTGTTTAACTGTAGAAACAATTTGTCTGACTATCAATTCATAGTTGGATGTACACTGGTAATTTTGAGTTAACTATTTGAACAGTGAAATGGTGGAAATTAATGAGAGATAATGGTTTGTGTGTGTGTGTGTGTGTGTGTGTTTGTGTCTCGAAACTGGATCCTAAGAACAGCAATTGCTGTGATCTGGATTATGATGGTATTGGATTATTCTAGAGCAGGGTGGGGAACGGGAATGGATTGATATGAGTGGATTCCCCCAGCTGTCACACCTCTGAAGTCATCTATGAGCATGCCTTGTGACACCATAGGATGCCTAGCTAAGGGGCTTGATGGAGTTTTTCTACAGGGCATTTCTGCTGGTATTTGAATCCTTAGGGACCCAATTGAAGCACTGGCTGATGACATCATTAGCTTTACATAGTGTAAAGTTGTGTAACATGATTTGAGCCATCACCTGAGAATGTTTCGTTTTGCTTCCTTCCGCTGCAGAGGAGGGCAGAGGAGCAAACCAAATAATGTAGTCAGTGTTTCCTTCTAAGAGGCAGCTAGACAAGTCCCCTTCCTTCCCCATATGAGAAAGGAAATGAAGGAATGATTTGCTGTCAACTGATGCTTCTAGATGCCCTAGACTGAGCTAAGGAATCCTTAAGGTCATGACTTGAATATTCTTCGAATGTTCTTCGAATGGGGAATCCTGCATCCAAGTCACTGTTCAAAGGTTAAATTATTTTGATGTGTTCAGTGCCAAATATATGTTAACAAGGGAGTGTGTGCATGCCCGTGTGCATCATAATAACTAATAATAAGTAATATATTACATATGAAATAAAGTATTGATCCTACTTTACATGTTTCAACTATTTTCTGTATTCTTTTGCTTCTCTACTAACCTTGTGGATTGTTCTTAACAGCTCTGAAAAAGAAGAGTGTGTGACAGTAGATATTGAAAAACCATCTGCAATGAAGTACATAGATGCAGAAACCTCACTATAGAAGTGAGCAAGGATATCAATCATTTGATAGGATATACTGTAAAAGAATAACTTCCAAGCGTCTTTCAAGAACTAGAATTTGAGTTGTGGATCTTGTATGTGCAGCTACAAGACTTTCAGATGAGAAGGAAGAGGCAATCACTCTAGAAGATATTTATTTTAATGGACTGTTTATTTCATTTTTAAATAGGAAAGTTAAAGTTAATTTTTAGTTATCAGTATATGTCAAATCATGGTTAAATTTAAATTATTGGTCTGCATTTTGTATACATTTTTAGTATGTGGCTCTTTTTTAATTTATTGCAATATAACTGAGCTGGCAATTACTGTTTGGGTTTTTGCAAAAGTGTTTTTTCATGTCAGCGGCCCTGAAACAAATTTCCAGTGTGCCATCTCATTAATGACTGTGTTTTGGGCCCTGTTTGACTTTATGTTGCTGTTTTTATGGAGGATTTAATTTACACTTGGGAATCCGTTCCTTGAGTGATAAATTAGTATAATATTATCAAACTCTATTTTGTTGTATCTTTAAAAGAAAAAAATTCCAGCCTTATACTGCGTGTTTAAATTCTTGGTTTTAATTCCTAATCCATCATATAATAACCCATGTTGAATAATCTGTAATTAGGCTTCCCTCTCCATTTGATGTGTTTGTGAAGACAAATTGTATTGCCTCTACTGTGATGAATAAGACAGTCCACTAATGCAAGACAGTGGATTGGCACACAGATTAATAGGGTCTGATTTAAGGTATCTGTTTTTAAAATGTTGACAGAAACATAGGTCTGTTTTTAGTAAAATTTTCATACTGATTTTGAATCCACTGTGAGTTTACTTTTCTACCTTATATTAAAAAAACCATCAATATGGTTTAACTTTTGAGACAATTCAGACGTGTGGTAGTGTCAATTGGAGTAGACCTACTGAATTAATTCAGTTAATAAGTGTTAACTCAGTATTCAGCAGTTAATTCAGTGAGTCTGTTCGCAATGGATCTGGATTTATGCCAAAGAAGTTAGAGCTCTTTAAAAGCTAATATCTAATGCCTGAATCCTTCATTCTAAAAAACTCAGGATATGGAATTAGAATCATTATTTGTCAGATACGTTTTTAAGATCATGTGCTTCAATATGTGCACTTCAGATTCTTTGCTTCTGAAAATTCAGATTCAGTAGAATATTTGTAAATGTACCTTTCTTTAAAATGGCATTATTTTTAAATAGTGTAAAATTGATTTGAAATATTTAAAATGTTTTACCCTGACTGCTAATATCTAAATTAGTGAATGTAACTGAATATCTGCCCAAATTTTACATGCAACAGAGTAAATGTGCATAAAAATAAATTGATTTGAAAATAAGGGAATCTGAAGTTCCGTAGTTCTATTGTGTATGGAGAGCTTTTGCAATAGTAAGGACTGATACTGGAATGTGCCATGACACCATCTCTCAATACTGGTGTTAGTGGAGAAAACTTTTGTTTGTGTGGAAACTTTAGACATGTCTCAGAAAATCTGTGACATACTAAGGAAGCCAGTAGAACAGGAGCCACTAGGCCATTGTGCTTTTTTAAATATGTAACAATTAAATGTAAGGTCATATTTACTTAAAATACTTTATTTTCTTGAATTGTGAATATAATAATCTTCTGCTGAGAGACAACTCATTAAAAATAAAATACAAGCATGGTTTGTGTATCAACCATGAAATATTCAAGGGAAATATATTTCCCTTGAATATTTCAGAAGTCCAAGCTTCCCTTCTTGTAAAGCTATTTTTCATCTGCTTTCAATCTCATATAATTTATAATTTTGTTGCAGGCCATGTTTTAACATATAATAAGTAATAAAATTATTGCTTTTCGATTAACAGGGTAACATAAAATAGCAGAGAATGTGAATATCGCCATTTTTGTCTGTTGCACTAATCTAAATTCAGTTGGTTGGATTCAGACTCATGTACAGCAAAGTGATTTTCTTTCTTTGCCCCTACAAAATTCAGTAGCTACTTCCCACAGTGTTCTAGTAAATTAATCTGCTCTCCATATTAATGTGGAAGTTGGCAGTTGACTTCATCCAGTAGCAAAGCTTCATTGGATCCAGGTTTCCTCCATTAATTGGGGGGGCAAGGCAAGGACATATATCAGTCATTCATGAAAGATTACATATGTATTTAGCCCACTGCATTATCTTGGGAGAGTGTCAGTGTTCTCTATTTATGAACATACTGTAAATTGTTATATGGCCATAATTTGTAAAGCATTAAATGATAAATAAGCATTTTAAAAGCTAAATGTTTAAAATGCAAACTAAAAATGGATGATAGTTTCAAAAGGAGATTGCTTTATTATCGTAATTTATTGATGTTGTTGAATAAAATGACAGGTCACCAATGTGTATTTAAATTAATTAAAATGTTATTTCATTCATAGCCCCTGTTGATTTCGATAGCAGTGTTATATCCCATTAAAGGATATAACAAATACACACAAATGTTCTCATCTTTGGAGGAAAAAAAGTCGACAGGCCCGCCACCCGCGCGCCACTTTCAGAGGTGCATTTTCACTGCTGAAAAAGCCCCCGGAGGCTTCCGAAAGCGGGGCAGGGGATGGCGGGCCTGTCCCTGGCACCACCCACCCACCCCCACCCAGGCAAGCACCGCTTTCAGAGGTGCATTTTCACTGCTGAAAAAGCCCCCGGAGGCTTCCGAAAGCGGTGCAGGGGATGGCGGGCCTGTCCCTGTTGTTGGTGGACCACCTGCTTCCATTGCCACTTACCTACCAAAGAGGTGTTTTCAGAAAGGACTGTGCTTTTCTCCCTACTTTTTCCAGCAGTGGGTAATCAATTGCTGGTAAAGGATAATGTTATTAGTATGGAAATCAAAGGACAAATAAGGCCAGTTCCTGACACCTTACATAAAAGTTAATAGAAAAAAAACAACCACATAATTTTATTTTATTTTAATAAATTCTTGACCCTTCTTTTCTGACAGGCTTTGGATTTCTCATCCATAGAACTTTTGAATTACGGAAAGCATTTTACAATTGTGCTCTCTGTTTTTTTCTTAGATCTGGACCTCACTTGGTGTAGTGGAATGGTTGACTTTTCCAAGTAGCAAATCTCTGTACTTTGTGGTAAACTGCCTTTAAAATTGTAGGTGCTTCAAAAGTAGTCTGTAGCATGGCACCATAGAAAAGTAAAAATGATTGCATAGTGTAGAAACATATTCTGGGGCATAACTAAAGTAACTGTGAATACGACTTGAAACAACTGAGAACAAGCAATAGAAATATAAATTTTGAAAGCACCATTTAAAGTTTTATTAAAAAGTGACTAGTTTCTTCATTATCAAATATGTTGTTCAGTATATTCTGAACTCCCAGGGAAAATTCAGAAGGAAGGAGGTGAGTAAATGCTATTAAGCTAAAGAACTGATGTCTGAGTAGCATCAAAGTAGCTTTTGATTACAACTTAATTTTGATATGAAATACTAGGAACAGTTTTCTTCATGACAATTTTCATTCCAAAATGACAGCCTGTGCCTTTCATAATCATGCACTCTTTATTTGAAAATCATGGCCATCCTTCACTTACCCTGACCTCATATGTGTGTTTATGTCTTTAAAAATTACAGCAGTTTTTTAAAAACTTATAAACACTCCCAAATAAATGTGTTTAGTCTTTAAGGTGCCACAATACTTCTTATTTTATTTTGTTTTTATTTTGTTTTTCTTATACTCTTAGGAATTACATTGCAGTCTTTCTGTTTGATACTGTTTAAAGAGAATCATGCTGTTTGTAGAATTCACAAAGTTGTTTGCATTTATTTTCCATTACTCCAGGTTTTTGCTTTCAGAACCACGGATAATGATTTGCAAAGATCCAAACAGTTTGTCTTGCATTGTAACCCTTTGGGTTCAAAGCCCATAATTGCTCAATACTGAACAGTTTATATGAACTTTTCAGTGCCAAAGGGTTAATGATTTTGGTAATTTTAAACATATGTTTGAAATACTTAGAATTACAATATTTTAAATTATGTAAAAATACCTTCTACTGCCAGGAACATCATTACTTTCAATGCTATTTACCCTGGCTTTTCCAATATGGTTACTAATATATTGTTGTACGCTTTTAATATCTTTGATATCAGATAAATCTGATAACATGCTGAAAATGTATTAGTGACTTCTGTTTAAATTAATCTGTTTCTTATTTTGCTTTTTATAAACATTATTTCATTGTAATTAAAATGGATAGTATTAAAGTAAAACAGTGACATAGTTTTTACTGTACATAGATATAAATGTTGCCTTAAAAGGTGTAAATGAAAAAATCTACTGTGCACTGAATCACCTTAGAGTGAAACTTAATTTATAGCCAGTATATTTGCATTATACTAATAGAATCAATAGCTGGACAATTTTTGGATGCCTTGATTACCTCCTGGTGAATAAACTAAGGTGTTTCCCACATGAAGGGCTTTTAGTGTTTCCAGTCAAAAAGCATTGAGGAGGTATTATTTTTTCCTTCCTCAGATTTTTTTTCTGGAGGGAAAAATGATGGACAAAGCAGTGGGAAAACCCATGAGAGCCACAAGTAGAAGACACGCTTATCCAGAACTTTATAAACAAGTATGTTTGAGAAACAGCGTTTGCACAGTAAAAGCCTTACCTGGAAGCACCTTTACTTCACTGTATAAGTAACTGCAGAGCCTTCCTAGGAAATTTGCTTTTCTTAATCTTTTTTTAAACATTTTTTAAAATTGTGTTTTACAAAGAGGTTTCAGTTTTCATACATGGACATCTTTGGTAAAGTTTTTTAATGTTACGTTTAAGAATATAAACAATTTAACAGTGCTTTAGATATACAAACCTGAAGAGCTCTATTCTGAATATATACAGAGTGCTCATTATCCTTTGCTTGCATCATTTTATATTTAAAAGCAAATTATTCCAGATTACCAAATAATCAGCAAAAGGTATACGATAGTGTATAAAGAATGTCAGTCAATTAGCACTCACAGACCATTCCCTTCTTTTGCTTTAGATACATTTATTTCTATGTACAGTAGTCTAATAAAATGTGCCCTTTGTAAAGAGAAGTTTCAAGTGTAAAATGCCACAGATAAATGCAATGCATTATAAAAATGCACTGGTTTGCATTGTTTAAAAGGGTTATATATTATATGTTTTGTAAATAAATTGTCTTGAAGTCACCGGTTCAAAGTCTGTTAGTCATTAGCACAATATACTGAATGTATTTTGATTTTATTAAGTTTGGTCAGTAATTTAATGTTTTTAGAATTAAGTAATGATGTAGTTGCCATCCATTACTTACAGTACAAATGTTCACATAGTTTTGTGTCAATATATACTTGTTAATCTGAATACACATTATATTTGTCTTGCAACTTTACTCTTTTGTAATTTTTTTGTTACTTTTTAGTACACTGGTCAATAATAGGAAAAATAATACAATAATTGGTGTGAAAATAAGATTTTTCATATTTAGTACATATTGTCACTGTCTGGTAGTCTTGAAGTAACTTATTTAATAGCTAGATTTTTATAATATTAGTCAGGAGATGCCTCCTTTAAAATTTTGTTGTTAATGTTTTTTGTAAATGTGTCTTCCAGTGTTCAAGAATATAGCTGAACAAAACATGTACTTTGAATCAAGGTGTAACTCCACACTTTATTCCAATTTTTAAGACATTTTTCTAATTACACATTCTATTTCCTTTTATAATAAAATCCAAAGCAATTTAACACTGTTTCAAAGGTAAAAACAATATTTTATTACTTTATATGTTTACAAATTTTTCTCCAATAATGCAAAAAAAAATCAACCCGTGCAATTTGTTTAGTGATAATTGTAAAAACTATTTTTTGTAATGTTTGAAAATGTTGGGAAAAGGCAATAAAATGTCACTGACTTTAATGGTGTGTCTTATCTCTAATTCCATATTGTTGTATGTTGGTTTCCAGGATTAACATTGCTGCTACAAATGCTTGCTGTTCACAAGTTCTTCTAGCTTAGCATGACATTCTTGTCATATGCTTTAAGAATTGCACAGCCCCTCAGCAAGGAAAGATTTCAATCAAATCTAACACATTTTGCTATTGTTATAGACTATAACACTGTGTAAAGTTCCAGTTTCTATTTGTGTTATGCCAAATTAGCAAAATCATGCCCTTATGAAGGGCAATGAAAAGTATGAAAAGAAGAACCAATATATTTCATGGTTCTCAATAGTAGACTGAGTTTGTAAATGTTTCCAAGGAGCAAAAGGAAGTCATTCACTTGTGGGGAATAAAAATAGTTATATGGGCATGTCATAGGTATTGGCAATCACAGACATCAGTGGGAGGCTCTGAGAATGGATTTTCTTATAGTCTCTCTTTTGATTTCATGTCTTGGTGATGTAGAATTTGTCATACTTTAATGAAATTTTGTAGCCACTTTTTGTTACACAATAAAACAGCAAAAAAGAAAGAAACCATCAGGGAATCCCAAATTTTGCAGAAGTACAAAAACATTTTACTGAGGGAAAAGCTTCTAAGCATGGTACCCAATGAAGTTTTGGGCATGCTGGCATTTACAAGAAGCTGACTGTTAAGAAGCAAGAAAATGGGAATTGGGGAGATGGAATAATCTGAGGGGGAAAAACTGGTTCAAAAATGGGAGCAATCAAAACTACAACACTTTGCTGCAAGTCCTACTTGTAAAAGGTGACTGGATATGGAATTCAAATATTGTGTTTTGGAAAAATGAAACACAATAGATTTCTTATTGTCCCCACTCTCCCAGCAAACCATATAAATATGCAGTGTTCAAATACAGAGCCATGGTTGTCTCTTTTCAATGTAACCAAAAAGGTGAAAACAGTTTTTTGGTACATTAAAAAGGCTTGATAGATATACAGTATTGTAGCATGAGATTTCCTGGATTACAGTCTGAAGAAAGATTATTGTAATCCACAAAACACTTGTATGAAAATAAATATGCTAGCCTTTATAATGCCACAAGCCTCATTTTTTTTGTCCTACAAATATGGTATGCCCTTTTTGTAGGCACCAGAACTGATGGGGATAACAAATTGTTTCAGCATTTATAAGCATTTAATATTCATTGAACTGATACGTTTGAGTCAGTTTCAATTTTGAAATAATTTTTGTTTAGAATTGGGATTAGAAGTACTGTAGTTAGATGATAATTCTAGTTGGCAGAAGAAGGCCAACTGTTTGAACTAGGAGTCAGTTTTGGAACTGTAGTATACTTCTAGTCAACTTTGAATTTTAATCTCATCAGCATGCCTAACTTCACGAATTGGAAACACTTCACCCCATACTGTTGTATGTTGGTTTCCAGGATTAACATTGCTGCTACAAATGCTTGCTGTTCACAAGTTCTTCTAGCTTAGCATGACATTCTTGTCATATGCTTTCAGAAAAAAACAGAATGACTGATCTATAACTAGATATCTCTAACAAAATTCCTCTACAACTCTTTAGACTGCCTTTTCTCAAAATTGCTACTGCAAGTCAAGTGTTAAAACATATAACATACATCCACATAATTTGCCCAGATGCGAATTTTCTCAATAGAGAGGTCTGGGTAAATTAACAACTAGCTAGTTCAGAATGGTTTAAGAGTGTTAAGGGATCAGGAAAGTATATTGTGTAAATGGAATTACAGAAGAAAATAACATTCAAGCAGCATGAAAAATGTTTTTTTTTTAATGCTCCAATGTAGTGAACAGCAGTCTAAATCATTGAAAGTTGCATTTACTAGTAAACATTTTCTAACTTGATAAGCTTAAGATTGCTTAGATGACCCTATGCTGCTCATTCATGAATTTTCAACACAAGAAGGGTTGATGGGAACACAGTAAACTGATGGGATTACCTATCATGCTTCACAGTAAACTACATGTACGTCTGTAAGAGGGGACCTGAAAATAAGATCACTCATATGGTGAACACAAGAAAAAGAGATATTAGCTGATGAAGCTTTGAGAAAATAACACCACCAGCCTACTTTGTACTGCTACAAAGATATGAGATTCTCAGGAAAGGAATGTGTTATTCTGTGAAAGAAAAAGATCCTCATTCCTTGCAGGAGAAGGATACACATGGTTATTAGAAAAAGAACTGAAAATTTGCTAATACGATGCTTTTGACATATGGCCACATAATGTGCACGATTCTGATCACCGCATCACAGAAAAGCTATTCTAGACAAGGAAAAGGGCACATAATGCATGATTAAGTTATGAGATCTGCTTCTGTAAGAAATATGTAAATGGCAATTAGACAAATTCATAGAACATAGCACCTCGTTGTACACTCGCAGATGAACGATTCAATATTGTTTGGTTAAAGCATGTCTAAGCAAGTCAAGTTTAGGGGAGATAAAGCTAAGTTGTTGACAAGTAGCCACACCAGTTTCATTAATAAGGAGGCAATGATCTGTTATCAAACCCTCCCAAAGCTCCTTTTGAAAATCTTGCCTGTGCTCTGAATTTGGGGGCGGGGGGGAGGGGGAAGATTCCATTCCAAATGAGTGGAAGCTGGTTGAATGTTTGGCCAACCACTCCCCTTGGATAGTTCATTAGGCACAAATAAGTCGTGATCTAAGTTTAGTTAGGGCCCTACCTCTGATTCCAAGGTCTTATTTGAGGATATGAAGGTAGAGAGTGAGTCAAATGTATCTAAAAGAACACAGTCCAGGGCAGGTTAGATAAAAACTGAAAGCAAACAGACCAGCTGAGTTGAACTGTTTCTCCTTTGCCATCTTCCCTCCACAGTGGTTATTAGTAAAGATGCTATACTATATATATATCTGCTAGGAACATGTTGCATCTCACACTGTCCTGTTTCTGGACCTTTCATAAATATCTGGTTTTCTACTTCAGGAAGAAGACACTGGACTAGGTAACGTTTATTTGGTCAGATCCTGGCTGCCTTGGGTTCTTTTTAAGGAGAAATGGGATGAAAATATTTTAAGTAAGACTAATGTTCCAGATCTTGACTTCCAATCCTATTTTGATTAAACAGCACAATGCCCAAGTCACTCTTTACCAAACTGGTGCCCTCCCGCTATGGTGGCTGTAACATGACAGGAGCTGTAGTCTCACACATACAGAGGGCAGCAGAATAGGCCACTGCCATTCTACTGAAGTTGAAAACAAGTCACTAGTGCCTATGCTACTCTTCTTGTGCTTTGAAAAATTCTACACCAGTTTAGTGCAGAAATGTTTCATATTAGACTCTTGGGCAAGGTAATATCCATGGCAGGGAGCAGATGGTATGGTATGAAACTGTGACACACTGCCCTACGAGAGGCAAAATAAAATTCCAACTCAATCCAACTATATAGTAGGGGCTGTATACACTTGCATGCATCACCTACATGTGCCTTACTGCTTCAGGCATACTGGAAATAGTAATGGAACATCTGTAAGACTGGGTATGTGTTGTTGTTTTTTCATAAGCTTTCATGTGTCCCTTTTTTACCCGGAAACACAACTGATTCTTTCATCTGAAGTAGTGTGCTTAGACACACAAAACCTTATATATATATATTTTTTAAAGCTACTTAGTTTTACAAGGGTTACATGATTATTTCTGGTATGAATTGTTATAACAAATTAACATGGCTACCTACTACATATATTACATTTATTTCAGACATAGCCTACATATTACACACTTCAGGAAGTACAAGCTTAGTCTCTTGTTTTACACAAAGAGGCTCTCCATCCACTACATATATCCAAAGTTATTGTTTCTCAAAATGTTCAAAAGTTAAACACTGACACTTAATATAGATTAAATCTGGCAGTTCCAAGAATCCAGACTCTGGATGACAGCTCTCTCCCCTAGGACTGAAATCTAGTTTATTTGGACATACTGTATATGGCATCGTGGGTGAAAATGTGTTGTTTCTAGATGGTGCTCTTGATTTATATTACTGGTTTAACGACATATTACGTATAGCCAAAGCATAGTTTTACATTCCTTTGAAAATACTGGCTGAGCAGTAAACTGTCTATACTATATGTAGATCGGCAGTCTCAGACAAACACGTAGATTCCCGCTACTCTCGAAAGGAGGCATGAGATCAAGCTCGTCGCCCTTTCGCTTTTCACAGCAGCTCCTCAGCTTCCAACCTCCCCGGCCTCCAAGTGACGTCAGCGCTTCGAGCTCCACCACCGAGAGTTTAAGCCGGGAATCAATTCTTTCCACTGCCCGGTCTGGGCCTGAGGACGCCGCGGCTTTTCCGTCCCCATGGCAACAGCGGCAGCGTTGTCCGTTTTCCTGGAGGGTTCTCGCCCAGCCCTAGCTGGCTATCCATTGGCCAATTAAGGTGACATGTTGGTGAAAAGTGTGCTTTCATTGGTTGCGACGTTTGTCAGTTGGATCACTCAACAAGATTTTTTGGAGTTTTTTTTGTGCTGGGGGAGAGACTTGGGTTACAAATAATAACCATTCCGTACGATAAAGCGGAGGGCTGCCGGGATGCCAGAATTAGAACTGCCAGCGGGGGAGGGACACTGAGACCGAGGAGCAGCGACCCCGCCCTGTTCTCTTGTCCGGGCTAAGTAAGTGGCACGAGGAGGGGGGGGGCGCCAGGATAACTGAGAAGCCCCTCCCTCTGTCCCTCCTTCTTCTCTTGGCTGAATCCCCTGTTTAGTGACCGGGAGGACAGGCATAGTGTTCCTTAGGGAAAAGCCTGCGCTGAGCCTGTTTTCGGGATCAAATTCGGCCCTGGAGCATGTGAAAAAAACGTGTTTCTTGAGCATGCACAGAGTGATTTTTCCTGCACCATTATGCAACATGGTATCGCTATTAAATGATGGATTTATCGTGTTACGATAAGCTTTTGCCCACCAGAAAGCCCTTCAGTCAGATGCATGTCCTGTTATTACATTATAAGTACTAGCTGTATGTGAGAGAAGATTACAGTGGATGTTAGACTATATAACTGAAAAGCTTTAAATCTCTCTGGTCATTCAAATATTACTTAGACTTGCAGGTTTCCATTACTTATGTTTACAATTATAATGTAATGTTGGACAGTGTAGGCTGAAGTGGGGTTTAGCCTATGATGGCTTCTGTTGCAGTAAATCTGTTTGTAAGGGACTGTAAAACATGACTTTTTCTATTTTTGCTGTAAGATGTTAACACTTCTTCTCGAATAGTTATTTACATCACCTTAAAGTGGGGTTGAGGATTCCATTTTAGAGACATGACTTGTAGATTAGGTGAAGTTTGAGGAGCCTGACATAATTTACTATGCATTATATGTAGATAAAAAGAGAGACAATGATAAATTTTGTATGTTACACAATATTTTAATAGTTTCTGAAATGACACTAAGAGTGCAATTACATTTTAGACTTATAGTAATTTTCTCCCTTGTTGTGGTGTGTGTCATATGACACAGGTAACAATGTAACAGGTAATGTGCAACATAGGTTACTGTATCTATTTTTACCAACATGCTGATGCATCAATAAAAGACTGTCCCCTGGCAGCCTTTTGCTGGTCATGAAAATCCTGTTTTGAGAATCTCCTCTGTTAAGTCTTTGATCAGTACTTTGAAAATAGGAGGGAAGAATAAGTGTAATTGTATTATGTCAATCTACTCTATGCCCCTCAACATGTGCTGTGGAAGACTTGATATTAGCTGCCTCAAATGCTCTTCATGTTCCCTATCACTGTACCAAAATTTTCTGACATATTTATTAATTGTACTGTATGCTTCTGATGTGAACAAAACAAGGTTTTTTTTAAAGCTGTATCTTGGTGGCTAGCATATGTACTAACATATGTACTTTGGGTGGCTAGTATGTTTTAGTTATGTCCTAGATGAGATTTAGGACATGATTTAGAATCCTATTACTTTTTTATGCTGGCTTAGGCATTTGATATTGTACACTAAGTTGCATTACTCAGTGTGCAAAAGTAAATTCCTACACAGTCTTTGTAATAAGCTGTAATTTGCTGCCGAGATTTACACTGAAAGAGTTCAGCTGACTGGCACAGGTAATACAATTCTGGCTACTAATTTCTAAATCAGCACATCTTTTAAAAAGGATATATGGGGGGGGGGAAGAGAAGCTACAGGTGGAATTTTGTGTTATGGAACATGCAAATTATATTTATATATCCACTAGTAGTAGTACATGGCTGTTACACGCTACTCAGTTTTAGTTCTTTTTTGCACAAAAATAGGCAGCAAAACAAAGTGGAATTTTACTGCATGTGATCAAGATTTGAAAGAACGACTCATCTGCTTTTATGGAGCCAAGTGTACTTTGAATGTGAGTTTGTTGAACAGGAATAACCTGCCCACCCATGCAGAATGCCAAGCTATTTTTCAAATGCATTTGTAAATTTAAAGTGGTGTAAAGCATGATATGAGAGCTAACTTAGAATGGTACTTTCAATTCCGGATTGTACACTTCAATAGCTAATCTATTAAAAATTCTGTGTAGTTCCCTTGTGAAATTTTTCTACCCCTGCTTAAATTGTCTATTAGTGTCACTTTTTATGTGCAAACAGAGCAATTACTGTATCCTTAATATTTTCTTTTCTGTTGAAAGACAGAATGGGTTCTTCCTGATGCGCTGATGTTGTACAATGCCTGATCAACATGAGAAGGTGAAGAACACGGAAAAGGCAACAGACAGCAAACCTCAAGGGTACTATGCTTTTCACTAAATGTCAGCAGTGACTCTCTGGAATTTGCAGCAGCTGCCCAGCATAACAGTTTAATCTGAAATGCTGTGTGTACTTGGTAACTGTTACTCTGGTCACCAAGTTTATTCAAAACTTTTTAGTTTGATAGAAACAATGGGCAACTAAGAAATCTATTCAACCATAGGGAAGCAAAAGGTAGAGTGCTGAGGCAATACTAGAAATTGTCTTTTCCACCAAAAGATCAACATCAGTATGATTTAGTTTGCATTACATGTTGATGAACGTTGGCAGTGTAATAGGCTATTAATAGATATGTGATTTATCTTTTCTCCTAGGGGTTACTCTGATCTTGAAAGACTTCTAGCACTTCTAAATGTCCAGTCAAGCAAGCAACAGGTAGTTTGGCAATAGCTCATGTCTGAGCCATAACTGCTCACTAAAGTGGGCTTTGTTTGTTTGTTTGTTTGTTTGTTTGTTTGTTTGTTTCTTTCTTTCTTTCTTTCTTTCTTTCTTTCTTTCTTTCTTTCTTTCTTTCTTTCTTTCTTTCATAAACAGCCCAATTAGTGAATTCACACTACTCTAGATGGTGTACAAATCAATTTATTTATTAGTAAATGTTTGATTTAGAGTGAATTTGATTTTTGCACAGACAGCTTCATGGTTTTGAGTCCTTTGAAAGGCTTTTGGCACTTCTAAAGGTCCAGTCAAGCAAGCAAAAGCTTATAAAAGTTACCAGAATGGGTAATGATTTTTAGAAATATAAAGTGTTGGCACGAAGCTGCTCAGTGAGCCTTCTTTAGGCTCAGCTTCCATGCACAGTAGCTTTTTGTTTGTTTTGTTTTGTTCTATTTTTGCACAGCAATTTGTTCCCATCTGTCAGTAAGAGGTTTTTCTACTTCATGTTTGTGTTGTATTTCATAGTGAAATACTTTCCCTTTTCAGCAGAGCAGGCTTTGTTGTGAAACTTTGCATAGATGTGAAAGACCTAAACCTATATTGTGATCAGACTAGCTCCTCATCTAGGTAGCGCCCAGATGAGACAAAAGTGACTTTGATTAATCTTTTTGAATACATAAAAATGAATAGATATGTGTAAGAGGCAGATGACATGTGTAGCATGAGATGGATTTTTTTCCTAAGGATGGAACAGGTTGCCTATCTTTGGGCTAAATAATGCCAGTGTCAAGGAGGGCCAGGCCATTCGGCTGAATACTTTGCTTGCTACACAAACAATCTCTGCCCTCAGATCACATCTTTTTTGCTCTGTAAAATATCTGTAACACTTGTATAGGAGCTGAGATCAAGAGAAAGATGAATATATTTTTGTTGTTTAGTTGTTAAGTCATGTCCAACTCTTCATGACCCTATGGACCAGAGCACACCAGGCCCTCCTGTCTTCCACTGGCTCCCGGAGTTTGATCTAATTCATGTTGGTTGCTTCGCTGACACTCATCCTCTGTCATCGCCTTCTCCTCTTGCCTTCACACTTTCCCAGCAGCAGGGTATTTTCCAGGAAGTCTTCTCTTCTCATGAGATGGCCAAATTATTGGAGCCTCAGCTTCAGGATCTGTCCTTCCAGTGAGCACTCAGGGTTGATTTCCTTCAGAATGGATAGGTTTGTTCTCCTTGCAGTCCAGGGGACTCTTAAGAGTCTCCTCCAGCACCGCAATTCAAAAGCATCAATACTTCAGCGGTGAGCCTTCTTTATGGTCCAGCTCTCACATCGCTACTGGAAAAACCATAGCTTTGACTACGCGGACCTTTGTTGGCAAGGGGATGTCTTTGCTTTTTAAGATGCTGTCTAGGTTTGTCATTGCTTTCCTCCCAAGAAGCAGACGTCTTTTAATTTTGTGGCTGTAGTGATCATGGAGCCCAAGAAACTAAAATCTATCACTGTCTCCATATCTTCCTCTTTTATTTGCCAGGAGAGGATGGGACCCGTGGCCATGATCTTAGGTGTTTTTTTAATGTTGAAATATAAATAAATATATACTGCAGTGTATAGAGCAGGGATAGATAATAGTAGTCCTTTAGATATTGTTGACCTACAAATCTTATCATCTCTAACCATCATAGCCAGTGTTGAGAAGTCATGGGGGGTTGCAGCCCAAAAGCATCTGGAGGACCCTTGTTGCAAATGCTTCCCATTTAAAAAGAGAAGTTGATTTCACTCCTTAAAATGTGGATCTCTATGTTGTGAAAAGGAAGCTTTTTACAGAATCCTTGGGAAAATAGATTAGAATGGAAGCCTTGTTTTTCTTCCTTCCTTTCCTTGCTTGTGTTCATGCCTCCCAGTTATGGATTGCATCCTTATGTTCAGCCAGTAGAAAGTGATCTTATTTCAAAGAATCTTCCAGAATGAGTTTGATCTAGCCCTCGTCTTAATGAGCCCACTTTGTTTTCTGCCTACTGTAGAAATGTTAGACTTTTTCTGGAACTATGAAAGTCCAGAGTAAAACAAAGGTGTTTTCACATTACTTTGAAGATTACTTTAAGGGAAATAGAAATTTGGGGAAGCACTGAAAAAGACTGTCACTTTAGGTTCTACCAAGAGAGGAGGCAGAGTGGCATTAACCCCTCCCCCCATTCCCGTGAAGCCCCTTAAAGGACCCAGGACTGCAGGCATTGAGTGGGTCTAGATTAGGAGCAGGAAGTCCAGCCTCCCTCCCTGGAAACAGGGAGCCACCTTGTGGCTATAAACACATGTAGAGTCTCATCTCCTGTCACCTATGGTTTTCTTCCAGGGCATGCAAAGAGCTTGCCTGGTGCCCTGGATCCTGTCCCCATGTTACACCAGAAGTATTTCAACTGTAACTGATAAGGTTAATACCTTACTTCACATCAACAGATTTGTATGTCAGTTCTTGTCCTTAAGCAACATCTCAAACTTATTAGTGCTGGAAGCATAATCCATAGCCATTAGCTCACCTTTTCTCTTCTTTCACTGTGATAATATAATTACTACAGATTTTTACACACTCCCAACATATGCAGTAGGAAGAGTTTTATGCAGGATCGTCTGCAGCATGAGAGAATGATGATCTCAGAGTATATTGCATCGATTACAACATTTAAATCCAAGATGAATTTCTGCTCCTATCTGTTGCTACCAGCTATATGATAGGATTCTACATTATTAATTTTCCTCGGGTATTGCTGTTTGTCTTCTTCTCATGACCATTGATCTATTTTGGAAACACTAAAACAAATACTTTGTATCTACTGTTCTTTTACTTGTAGGAAACTAAAGCTCTAGATCTACACACACTTGCCTAAGACTAAGTCATACTTTGGGTATACTCTATAGGCTGCAATCCTATACACATGCTTACTTGGGAGTAAGCCCTACTAAGAAGCATGAGTCTTCTTGCTTGGAAATGAACATGCATAGTACTGCCCCAAAACAGCTATAAAATATGACAAACAATATTTTTAATGATAAGTTATGTATTTTATGTTATTAGAATGATCAAATAGGTTTAGCTTTCATAGATTTCACTCAGTTTTCCTGGGAGGCAGATTTTGTTGTTATTGTTGCTTTTGCTACTGCTGCTATTGTTTTGCTTCAAATTTCCACAAATATATGATATTTGTAACATCTGTAACTTCCACTGAAGTGGTCCTCTCTATATGAAGAAGACTATTTGAAAACATCTCAGATTCTTATCTGGTTTTTTGTTCTGCAGATTTCCTGGGAATGAAAAATTCAAGTTTACATCTCATATCTCACAGGGAGTTGAACAATACCAAGTTACTTTTGTTACTTAAATCTCTTGCCAGTTATTAGTCTAAGGATGTCCACTGTGTCTTCCGTAAGCTGTTTTTCCTCACTACTCCCTCAGTACAAGAGCCAGATCTCCTTGAGTTCTGTATATAGCTGAAAAAGAGGAGGCAACAGTGGACCAAATCATACATCGAGGGAAATGTGTATTTTCTCCTCTTACAACAAAGCTGTGTTAACTCCCAGGCGGGACCTATTATAACAAAAGCAAGCTTATTTGAAAAATGAGGAGTGAGGAAAGCTCATATTAGAATAAACAATCATTAGGGAATCCATGTATTGTCCAGTGAAGTCCAAAGGATGCCTGGGTGACTTTACAATTGCTGTGAATAATGGCTCTTTTTGTTCTTCATTAGCTGAGTGTTGATTTTAGTTTCAAGTTATTGGGTGTCCCAGTAACTAGCAATAGATTTTCTTAGGCCTGCTTGACTGCGTTATGCCATTTGCCTAATATGAAATCTCCCTTGCATTTGCAGCTGCCAGCCCTTAATTTTGACTGTGCTAACAATAGTATGACTAAGTCTGAGCACTACTCTTGCAGCGGTTGTGGGGAGACATGTAGAGATCAATGGCAAGAATCAACTGAGGCTGTTGAACTTGAACACTTCAGGTATAGTGAGTTTAAGATAACTAATGTCTATAGTGAAAAGCCTTCACGAATACAATGTCTATAGCTTTTGCGAATATTGTACACACAAATCCAACAGAATCCTTGTCACATGCTATTCCCCCCCTTCATTATCCAGTATGTCCTAGAACTTTAAAAGACAGTAAAAAATGTGTAAGCCTAACAATAGATATCCTGCCACAATGTTTTGAAGACAAATTCAGTTTTATAAACCTATTATGGAAGAAGATCAAAACCAAAGCCAATCCCATCCCCACCCCCAAAAAACCTACCATGGTGCAGTGCAGGGAAATAACATGCTAACATTGAAATAGTTACTTTTACATTAACAGCAACCAATTTATGCAACTGAAGGATAAATATTTAAAAGTAACTCCTTCTTTCAAAACATTATTTTTAAAGGATTAAATGTATTCCTTTTGTATAATGTGAAAGTAACAACTCTAATGTTAATGTGTTAAATCTAATAAATTATTTTTTAGACTCAGGTAGACTTGTGACACTTTTACAACTGAAAGGATTGTTTCATTGTAAGGTTTTATTTACTACAAACCACTTTTCTTCAGACATTGTCTTCTTTATATACAGAAAACAGTTTAGAATTTGTGGCTTTGGTTGTCAAGATGGAGTTCCAAAATTTTCTTCTGGGGGTGGTGGTGAAATATGTCCAGGGATCTAATTCTTTCCGGTGGCACAAAAGTAGGATGCTGCAGTTTGACTTTATCCGGTTTGATTCATTTTGTCTCATCACCTTCTCATCTCCTCAGTATGAACTTGACTAAACTGTGCTCATCCACATCCAGAGTAGATGATAACAGCTGTGGAAGGGAGAGTGATTGAAGACAGTTCTCCTGCCATGTATCTAGCCAAGGAAATGACAGGCCCCATATCACTTTGATTTGATTTGTATCACTAAGAGTGGTCAAATTGACCAGATAGGCGGGCTATAAATAAAATAAAATAAAATAACATAAAATAAAATGAATGAATGAATGAATGAATGAATGAATGAATGAATGAATGATGAATGAATGAATGAATGAATGAATGAATGAATGAATGAATGAATGAATGAGCTGAAATTGGAAGAAATTATCAGAATCTTAGGAAAGCCTTTATGATCTTGTGCTTGGCCATAGGCCATCTTGAAACTAATGGAGTTCCAGTTATGGGGGCTTGGACACTATTACATGTCTTTTTATTGATGGGTGATTTCACTATGTTCCTGCAATTCTCCAAACAAATGAATACAACTGTGGTGTCTGCAACATACAGTGAAGAAAGATTTACTTCCATTGATATTTCCTGAGGTGCTTCACAAATGAGTCCATGGCTGAATAGAGATATCAATGCAATTTTTCCTGATATCAGCCTAATTCCTCTAAGCATTTGCCAGTATTGATTGGAAACAATCAAGTAAACTCCACAAGCATGATACTTTTATGAGTATTAGATCACGTGAGGAGAACTTTTATTATGTTTGTTTTTTGAACAACCAACCAACTGTAATGTTCCATCATTAACAGCTATTGTGTTTGTGTGATAATTCATTTGTTTTTTTTTGTTTTTTAACTTTAGTATGAATTACAAGAACGAGAGAAATTTTAGCCAGTATCCACAGCACAAGTTGTTTCAAGAGATCTTCATAGCCTTAGTTAAGAATCGACTCATTTGCAGGTACGAAACATGAGTTATGTAAAAGATTATATTACCCATCTGATAGTAGACCATAATGCTTACAGTACTTTTGAACTCTGTATGTTTTCTTGTATGGCATTAACTTGGCCGTTATGGCCACAAAATGATATTCTGTAATTAATCTCCATAAGTATGTGGAACAGAGATTCTTAACTTGTGGTCCACAGACCTCTATAGGGTCTATGTATGGTCTTCATGGGATTCACACATGCATGTTTATATGCATCAGAGTCCATAACTTTCATCAAATTCTCAAGGAGTGTTTGAGCGAAAAGAATGACAGTGAAGGAGATGGTAAATTAATTGGAGGAGATACGCATTCCACTTCAATCTGGTATGACTATATAACATTTGACAGTTATAGATGTTGTAACCTATGGCAGGACTATGCTTTCTTTATTCATTCTGCTCATGCAGTAACCCCTTTCAGGAAGGGACAGATTTTTACTGACCTTGTGCAAGGAGATGTCCACTAGTCCTTGTGCACAAGTAGAACCCCATCCATTCTCCCCAAACCCTATCTTTTCAGTCTATGTAATGTTGATGACTATATGAGCTCCATATATAGTCCTCAGTTAATCATGCTAGAAGTGCCTGTTCATCAGGCTTTTAAAATTCCTCTGGATCACCTGGGATATCTCTTTTGCTTGTTTATGGAACTCCTTGCCATCTACTTCAAAACAAAAATGAATACTAAAGATAGCATTCTTTGTATGTTTGGTCCAAAAGGTATCTGGGGAACATGAAAACCCTGTTTTAAACTTCAGAGGTCCCCAGGGATGAGTCTGTGAATATCTACTCTGGAAATGCAGAGAATTTTTATTCAACTGAAACTATGTATGAGAAATGCCATTCTGCTTTAAAGAAATGCCCTTGAAATCTGAGACATAAAGAGGTTTTCCCCCCTCTCAGACACTGCATGGCATATTGCTTTCCCCTCCTTGTAGGGAGTTCTAGGACATATGTCCCTAGTGCATGAATGGCCTTTAGGCAGTCTGAGATACCTGATATATTTGACTGACTTTGATTGCCTGTTGGCAGGCTACAAACATATGCTTTCAAATTAAATCTGAATCTAATATAAATGTATTGAAGCAATTTATAATTTTTTAAAATGGAATAGTGGGCTTCAATAATATACAACAGCAGGATACAATTATATTTGAGAATAGTTATTTGAACTCAAGGAGAACTTTGAGATTGATATTCTGAGGCAGTACCTCCCCTCTATGGGGCCCTATAGCACTGGTCTTTTTCAAGGTCACTTTGTGATGTGACATTTTGCAGAGGGGTGGAGAATGGAAAGTTGTTTGAACGACAAAAGCCAAACTCTTTGGATCCTAGCCACTGAATTAAAGGATATTTTTCTGTGTAAAGAAACAATCCAGTAGGGGCGGGACTGTTTTTTAAGGTCAGCTATTATAACATGGCACAGTAGGTCATGGAATATATATCATATTATGGGCTCAATGCTAAACATAATGTGAGAGTCCTGCAGAATTAGGCCAGAGATGTCTCTATTTCACTGTCCTGTTTTGTGCAGTGGCTACCCAAATACCTCTGGAAAACCCTTGTGACATGAAAGGAATCTTTTATCTCTGCAGCCCACCACCCACTGGCATTGTGGGATATACAGGACATTTAGCTATCATGGCTATGACTATAGATCTACTCGACATTTTTCATATTTTCCTTTCAAACCCTTTGATCCAGAGCATCATTATATCTTGTGAAAGTTATTTTTGGACTTCAGCTCCCAGAATCTCTCAGTGAGCAAGCTGTTGGCCATTTTGAAAAAAATAATCTCCTAGCCCTAGGGAATGTACACATGAGCTGTGCATTGAATGAAAAGTCCCTTTTTTGGCCTATATTGAAAGTATTGCCAATTTCTTTGGATGATCATGTGGTACAGGATCATCATCAAGAGTATAAGTTCACTCAACTTGTTTTTTTCACATCATCCATAACTTTCTAAATTTCTATTATGGTGGGTTTTTTTTTTCAAAGCTTAAACTCCAGGTATGTTCACCTTTCATCTGTTTCCGCTATTTTCCCCTCTCTCCAGTACCAGTCTTGAAATGGGTTGGTGAGGTGCACAGTATGGTCATGCCTTTTTGGAAATACTGACAGCTTTGTTTTCTTCCATTTTCTTGCAATCTCTAGTAGTGGCAACAAGCAGAAAATACAAATTCTGTGCTGAATTGCTTTTCACCAAGCTGTCTGTCACAGTTCCAAGGTCTCTAGTGAGGAAGAACTGTAGACTCATCACTGGTACTCAGATCCTGTTTCTCACTCTAGCAGATACTATCCTCCTTCTCATCATGGATTGCTAATTATGCAGCATTATTCTAGCCCAAAATTGCTTTTTTTCACTGTCCAATAAGGTTAAATTGTAACTGTGTATTACAATGTGTGTAGCATTCACTTCATGTAACTCTAAACAACAAGCTACTCTCTATATCTATCAAATATTTAGGCTAATTGTGCCTAATGCTTTCAGAAAATCCCATTATTTATTTAAACAATTCTTGGATGTCAGTGTCCAAATATACAAGATAACAGAGTTTTTAAATAAGCATATTGGGAATCGATTCCATGAAATCAATGAGGCTCAAATTACCCATGATTCTTAAGTATGAATAAGCTTGGATCCAGTCCACTCTCAGTTTTGGGATGTGGATACCATATATGGATAGTTTACCCAACTCCCTCAAAACATTGTTCACATCATATTATAGCTTAAAGTTAACAATAATTGTACACAATATTAATCACTTGTTAAATGGCAGTTCTGTGTGACTGAAATCAATTCACCCTGGATTGTTTTTTTTCTTCTTTTTTAGTAAGTGGTGGGAACCTGGAAAAGAGCCATTGGATTTGATTTCACTTTTTAAAAAATGTGGTCTTAATGAATTACTCTATATAACTCAGTCCTTGGGAGTCTACTTGTATCCATTGCAACAGCACAGCCTTTATTTTTATCATATTATTTTTAGCCGCTGGCTTGATTCCCAGTACAGATCTGAACTGTCACACTTGTCAACTATATTGGCTTCTGGGAGGGAATGAAATAGGGTGAAAATATAAACAAATTGCATATGTTGTGTTTGAGCAGATATGTTTCCACAGACTTGTATGGAGATTGTAGTCAAAAACAAAGTAGTTTTTCACAATTTGGGGAGTGTAAAAATACATGAACAGAGAAGTACAACTGAATATTCATACATTTGACAGTCTGTTTTTATTTTCAACTTATATTGGTATGAAATCTCACAGTATAATGGTATAACCAAAGCTAAGAAAGTACTTAAATCTGTTACACCAATCTACTTTATGCTGGTGCAGCTCCCACTTGTGTTGGACTACTTTTCCCAGTGTTATGGGAATTATAGTTCACCTTAATTGGAATGTTTCAGGTTCATGAAGGTTACATTACATGTTAAAGTCAAGTTTATTTTTAAAGTTAAGTGTATGCCAAGGAAAGTTATGTGTGCCAGTTTTGTACTAAAATCATTGGGATGTATTGTAAATGGCCAATTGTGATTTTATTACATGTAATCTTGCCTGTCAATTACCAGAATATTGAGTTAAAAAAAATAATGTCAAGCTACTGTTTCATAGCTGGAGCAGCTCCACTTGAATCACTCAGCAGATAGCTAATGAAACATTATTTATATCTGTTTGCAGGGAATGGGCTAACCGAGCTTCACCTATACATTTCCTGAGAGTTTTAATTTGTATAAGATTATTAATGAGGGATCCATATTATCAGGTTGGTTTGTATTTGTTTTTCCTCTCAAAAGATACAACAGGAGAATAGTGCTTTGATACCAGAACCTTTAATTAGATATTAAACTGCTGCAGTTTTATAGATGTGTTCTGATGATGTGTAGCTGACAACTTTGTATACATGATTTCCCAAATTCATTATAAACCCACATCTTTGGTGTTGGCTTGATAGTGTAACAAGGCTTAGATGGTTTATTGATGCTGCACAGTCTTAAGCATACTTTCTACAAAGTATAAAGGTAAAGGTAAAGGTTCCCCTTGACAATTTTTGTCCAGTCGTGTTCGACTCTAGGGGGCGGTGCTCATCCCCGTTTCCAAGCCATAGAGCCAGCGTTTTTGTTCGAAGACAATCTTCCGTAGTCACATGGCCAGTGCGAGTTAGACACAGAACGCTGTTACCTTCCCACTGAGGTGGTCCCTATTTATCTACTTGCATTTGCATGCTTTCAAACTGCTAGGTTGGCAGGAGCTGGGACAAGCTCCATCCAATCTCCATCCAAGCACAGCTTGAATGAGCCCCCAAATGTAGATTGTATTAGGACATAGTGTCATGCATTTCAGTACTGTGCAAATCAATTGCATCTAAACATACCTGGGGAAAAACATGCCTTGCCCCTTCTCAGAATCATTTTTGACACATCAACCACCACCCAAGATCTTGTTGGATATTGCACAACTCTCCAGCCATACCTGCAGAAATAAAACTGACTGCACAGGAACCATCCATGTAAACTCCTGTGTAAATAAATCCCAAGTGGAAACACAGGGGGCATGGCATCTCTCCCATGACGTAGTACTGCTCTCACATGCCACAGCACACCCCTCAATCACTATGAGAAGTTTGCATTCTGACACACACACAGAGGCAACTGTGTGTCACACTCTCCCACCTAGAATAACCTCACATAAACAAACAACCTAAGGTAGCATCCAACAGACATCCAACACTTCCCAAAGACAAAACAACCACGTTCACAAATCAATCTGCATTTGGAGAGTAAAAGAGGGAAAATGCATGTTCAGAAGGCAGAAAGAGAGAGACATTCACCACACCAGGGAATACCTCCGTGTACACAGTAACTCTCCTTAGCAGGAAGATGAGGCAATCCCAGAGGAAAGGAACTGCACATGCACACAGGACATGGAATCTCCACAACTCCCACAGTAGCAATGTCTTCCACAAAATCCAGTGGTGGCTTTTGGGTATTTATTTATTTATTTTGAGTGTTGACCTGGTCCAGCTCTCTCTCATGTCCACATTGTAAGCTCTGCCACCTTGGACTCATAGTATACGTTTACTGATTTCACTGTTTTTAAAAATTTGTAATGCCGCCCAGAATAGAACTTTGGTCTAGATGGGTGGGGTAGAAGTCTAATAAATAAATAAAATAAATTAAGATTGCACTGTTAACTAACTTAATGTAGATGAACTAGATTGTGTATGAGGATGTAAAGGTAGTCCTTTGATATTCAACATGCTTGGTGTGTTTATTTTCTTTCATACAGGAAGTTCTCCACAGTCTGGGTGGGACTGATATTTTAGCACAGGTAACATCCTCTGTCTTGCTCAGTATATTTTGTTGCACTTGAATGTAAGGTCTGTAAAGGCAAGAACTGAGGTTTCCATAAATCAGATTTGTGGCTTTTTTTTAAAAAAAAAGTTCAATGGAATTGTGTGAATACATGTGACACTCTGTTTCCAAGGGATTATAAAACAATGCATGTTGCAGTTTAGCTGAATTGCAACAGTGACAGTCCTCTGTAATTTGATTAAGATCCTAAATGGCTTGCTTTCTTCAAAAGAGTGTAGGTCTTAGTGATGGATCAGAATTCTAATCTGCTGGGCAAAACCATCTGGTTTGTACTCTGCAGTTGGATGTGTGCTAGCCAAACAAGAAATAAAATACACTTTTTAAGTACACTGCTCAACAGTTTTTAGCACAGTATTGCTTTATTCAGTGACACTTTTATGTGTAATTGAATAAATTTCACTCTTTTCTACATATACAACATGCCTTATTTTTAAAATACATTCTTCATGTCCACAACAAAACCAATTAAGAAAGGTAACTGGACTGCTATGTTGAGTAGATCCAACTAAATTTCATAAATTAATGTAAGCTTAACATTTGTCAGAATACATTTTTAGGCTGGAAATTAACAGGTAAGGGAGGTTAAAAAAGATGTTGATGAGCACAGGGAAGAATTTCTCAATGTCAAACAGCAAGATCTTTTTCTCCATTATTTCATTTGTCAATTAATAGTTAAGTGAGTTAGAATATGTATTCCATCCATCCATCCATCCATCCATCCATCCATCCATCCATCCATCCATCCATCCATCCATATTTTTCATTTCTTTTCTCCTATCAAAGGACTCAGGGTGGCTTATCTCCATATCTAACCCTGAAACAGATTTCTCCTGAATTTGAAAGTTTGTTCACAGCTTTTAGCCATTTTAACTGGTCAAGTTAAAACAGGGGTTTTAATCATCAATCACTTATAGCCCTGCAGTTGTTGTGGAATTCAAAATCCTATCAGCCATCATGACTAAGTAATTATCATGGAGTTGTAGTTCAACAGTATCTGAAGGACCAAGGTTACCCATGCATCCACTAGTGGTATTACTCTACTATTTTATGTAGGCTTCTTCTAGTAAAAAATACAGCTACCTACAATTTTCATATGTAGATATAATAATAAGTTAATATACACAAGATAAGAGGAAGCTGGTCTTCATAGCTCAATAGGTATTAATACTACACCCTTTAAATGACGTAAATGCTGTTACAACTATTCCTGTCATGTCATTAGCTTTTGAAGACTTAAGATGCAATCGTTTCTAAATGTTTTTTCTTTATTGCTCACAGCAGAGTGTCTGGGTTTTTCAGACAACAATGGTGCAGGCAGAAAAGCCTGCCATCTATTCCCTTGATGGTCATGGAGGGCAAGTTACTTTATACTGCATAAGAGTTTCATTTTGTCTGGCTTTGCAATATTTGCACCAACTAGCAGCAGCTCTCCAAGGTTTTAGGCAGGGTCTTTTCCAATCCCAACAAAGGGCAGGGTTTGGGACTTTCCATGCAAAACATAAAAATAGTCCTTTGTCACTGGCTTGTGGGTCTTCCCTAGTAGTCTTCTGGATATTGTAGGAACAAGTCCTTTGGCAGCAACTGTTACGTGTTCTTTAAATAGCTTTTTTGTTTTTTTTAAAAATAAATTATTGTATTTCTGTTGTTTGCAAAATCATCTACTTTAAATTGTGAAGCTAGTGTGCCATCTACTGTTGATACATATGTACCTTTTATTACATTCAGATCTGTGTAACTTTCTCATGTCATAAAATTTTTTCAATGTTTTACCACCATGTAGTACATGGAAACAGTAGCAAATGACTATCTTGGATATGGAGAAGAACGGCATAACATAGACATATTGATCAACATGACATGTAAGTTTTGATGGATGCACATTCTGATTATCTGACACATATGATTATTGGTCAATGTTGATGAATGAACATACTGGATCTATTACATCTGTGATGTTAACTATATGTGAAAGACACTTGAAATGTTCATCAGAATATTCTATAATTATAACACTACACAATTGTTGTCACACAAGAAGTGATAGTGGATAAATTAGATTAGAACTCTTGTTTTGATATATTTATAATTTTGAATCTCAAGGCAAACACCTCTTCAATTATTTTTTGAAGATTGTCTTTTACATCACAGAAGCTATTGAACAGAAGTTGCTATTGTGGAATTATATTCTGGTCTTGTAAGAATTCTCACTGAGATGTGATTCATTCAGTTTTTTTTCTGCTTAACAGATATTTTTCAAAAGCTATCAGCTGTTAAAGATCAAAGAGAATGGGTTATTGCCTGTGGAGCACATAAGGTAAATGAGCTATCATTGTTATTAATTAGCTTTTTCATGGATGCTTTCTGAAATGATTTTTAAGATTAATAAAAATCAAAATTACCTTCCATCTAAAAATCATCATCACATCATCATCATTTTCGAATGGCAGAGCTAGAAGGAATCCTATAGATCATCAAGTCAGCTCCTGTCAAGGAGGCACAGTGGGGAATCAAACTCCCAATCACTGGCTCCACAGCCAGATACCTAAACAATTGAGCTTTCAAATAGTTATATACTGAGATTATGGTTGCATTTAAAAATGATGATTAATTATTAGGTTGATGATTTTTCCATTTTAGTGAGTTCAGAAATTTGATAGACTACTTTTTTGAACTATGACTCAACAAAGTAGCTTCTCTATGCTCTTTTTAAAGGTAGTCAAACTATTTTTTTTCCAGTGGGCTATTAAGGAGTTGCTGCTCCACATAAAATAAAAATAAGCACCACAAACCAACTCTGAAGAAAACATGAAATGATAACATAGAAAATGCTGACCTATGAAGATTTGGCAATGTTACTAGAACCTCAGTACAAAGGATGGTAATTCCAGAGAGAAGAGCTACCTTGATATGGAATCACTGTAATCACTGGGTTTTGGATGGAGAATTTTGGAGGCTCTCAAATTAGGTTTCAAGTCACATTGATGCAGCAGAGGCATAGGAAGCAATGTTGTGGCTTCTTCTGATGCTGCTTCAGGCCTGATTTGTGTGTAAGAATGTTGTAGGCTATAAAGAAGAGCCTTGTGATAGGTTGTACAATTCCTGCCTACCTAATCCTTGCTCGGCTGCTAGAGAAAGCAGGTGGGAAGGAACTGCCGAGATGAGCTGCTTCATGGTTCTTTTGCCCAACAATCTCAAGGTCTGAGAGGGACTTCTTTCTCAGTAGCTGCTCCCAGACTTTGGAATGCATTGCCCCAAGAAGCCAGGTTGGCCTCTTCCTTCTTATCCTTCTATTGTTGGGCAAAACCCTGGTTTTTCCAAGAAGACTTTTAAGTAATAACTGGGGTCTACGGAACACATTATAATGAAATGTAGATGTTTTAAAAAACATGTCTGTTTTAAAATTGTTTTTAATCTTGATTAACGTTTAATTGTGTGTGTGTGTGTGTGTGTGTGTGCGCGCGCGCATGCACGCACACACATTTAGCCTGAACGAAGGTGGCTACCAGACCATTTAGAAGACAGTTCCACTTTTGATATAAATAAACAAGTGAAATAATTTAAAGATATTTAAGCATTCTAAAAATAGATGGACGTTTGTTATAATTGTTAAATCAATATTTTCTTTAATTTTGTAATATTATTTTTGCAGACATTGGCCAATTTACTTGGAGCTAAAGAAAATAATGTACTGATAGGTGCTTTGCTTGCTCTCATTAGCTTAGCTGAAAGGTAAGTTTTAATGTAATGACTTCCAATTTGTTTCTTATTTTTTTCTAAGTTACAGAAAAGACATGTAAATGAAACATGTAAATTGCCGCAAGTAGTGTTTCACTTAGTCGAGTGGTCTAGAAGCTCAATAAATAAATGTGTGCTTGATAGTGGTGATGTGAAAAAATAGTTCTAATCAAGTTTTATTTCCTTTGTCCTAGAAACAGAATATATAATATGCTTGCATTTTTACTTTCCATTCAGTCAACTGCTGTTCGTCCTCTATCCATTATTATTGCATTGCTGTCCCTGAAAGATGTGTTTTCAGTGATTATATGGGGAAAATAGAATCCATTTTCTTGCTGAAGTAACTCTGACAAGTTATAGCAATGTAAACTTTGTTTATTGATGACTGCACTGTCAAACAGCTCTTATGTCACAGAAACAATACTTTCCAAAGGGACAGTTCATATATTCAGTTTTGAATGGAAGAACATGCAATAAATGACTCATCTTTCAGTCCCAGGCCGATGAACACAACAGACTGCTTGTTGACAGAATCGTACATCTTGTTGTAATGATCACTTGCTTTGCTTCAAACCTGAGTTTATTTATATAATTTTTGTGTATGTTTGAAATTAAAATTGAAGCAAATGGGATACAAAGAAAGAGTCACTGGATATGCTGAATACATCCAGTGCTGCTTCTCTTTCTTCCTTATCTTGCATCCAATTTGTTGTCATTTCAAAAGGAGATTCTGGTGTCAATGCCTGCTGAACTAGAATTTATCAACAGGAGAGGATTATATCAATTAGATTTTTATCAGTCTAGGACTTAATAGGAACAAAGGGCTGTTAAAATCCTATTAAATTAACATAGTAAGCATAGTAACATTGTGTAACAACATACAGTCCCTGTTGTAAATGGTCATCTTGTATAAATTATAGGTCTGTGTCGAAATTCCACAGTTTGAGTTTTGTATTACATACAACAGGATTCAGTCTTAGGCTGATTACAGTAAAGACCCAGTGAAATCCTTGTGTGAAGTAGTTAATGGCTGTTGTTTATCCCATTAATTTCCATGGCATCTAACTGCAGCAAATTGAATCTCAATCTAAACCATGACCTTTTGGTGCCCACAGTTTATAAGTTGTCCTGCATATCATCTAACTTTCTTTATTTCTATCTGAGTACCACAATATTTCCTATTGCTTTGTTTTGTTTTGTTGAGTTGTCTTTTGGTGAAACAGTGTGGCTGTGCCTCTAGAATAAAATAATTACAACGCTACTTCCCTCAGAATCTAGAGGTAACATTATAAAACAATTATTTATTTTATTTTTGTAGTGTCAAGTTAATTCTCACTTATGGCACTCCTTCTAGGTACAGAGTAAAAGATTCAACTGGCCTATAGTTCTCTTCCTCTGGGGGTATTCTGAGCTATGCAGCTTGCCTAAGATTACACAGGCTCTGGAGACACAGTTGGGAGTTACAATCCCAAATTCTGGCTCGACCATCAGATGTCTAACTCAAGCCTAAGTCTATTCTTTTGCTGCTTTTTATGCCTGGTGCATATTCACAATCAAATAGCTAAGTTTGTAGAACTGCTTCAGAAAGGAACTAGATTAGCAGTCTGACACAGGGAGCTGCTTATGTGTCTTTATGACAGAATCATAAAATAATGGAAGCGGTCTTCAAGGCATCAAGTCCAACCTCCTACGCAGGGCAGAAATCCGAATCAAGGTATATCTGACAGATGGCTTCCTAATGCCTCCAGCACTGGAGCACCCACCGCTTTCCCAAGCTACTAGTACCTCACAGGATTTGGCGACTATACTTTTGTTAATGCTGTCTAAAATTGCATTGGTCTTTTTTGCAGCCATATCTCACAGTTAGCTTGTATTTAGCTAGTGATCTACAACAATTCCAAGAATCTTCTTGCTTGTAGTATTACTGAGTCAAGAACCAGCATCAGCACCATCTTGTAAATGTGCATTTGGGTTTTTTCCTGGGCGTAGAACTTTGTATTTATCCCTGTTAAATTTCATTCTTTTATTTTTAGCCCAGTGCTTGAGCCTATCAAGATCTTTTTGAATTTTGTTTCTGTTTTCCAGGATATTAGCTATTATTCCCCAATTTTGTGTCATCCACAAATTTGATAAGCATTGCTTGCACCCCTTCATTTTAGTCATTAATAAATATGTTGAAGAGCACCACGCCCAGGACTGTACCTTGTGGTACTGCATTTGTTACCTCCTCCTATTATGAGAAGGCACCATAACTGTATATCCACCTAATAGATGTTCTATCCAAGCCACGTAGCTATTATTCCCCAATTTTGTGTCATCCACAAATTTGATAAGCATTGCTTGCACCCCTTCATTTTAGTCATTAATAAATATGTTGAAGAGCACCACGCCCAGGACTGTACCTTGTGGTACTGCATTTGTTACCTCCTCCTATTATGAGAAGGCACCATAACTGTATATCCACCTAATAGGTGTTCTATCCAAGCCACATCTAGTTAGTTTGCTACTCAGAATATCATGAGGCACTTTGTAAAAGTTTTGCTGAAGTCGAGGCATACTACCATATGTCTATAGTATTCCCACCATCTACCAAGGAGACTACCTGATCAAAAAAATGAGATAAGATTAGTCTGACAGGATTTCTTCTTGACAAATCCATGTTGGCTTCTAGTTATTACTGCATTGTTTTCAAGGTACAAAGTGACCACTTTATAATCTGCTCCAGAATTTTCCCTGGGATTGGTGTCAGGCTAAGTGGTCTGTAGTTCCCAGGTTTCCCCTTTTTGCCCTTTTTGAAGATAGAGGCAATATTAGCCCTCTTCCAATCAGCTGGCATTTAACCCATCCTTTATAATTTCAAGAAAATAATAGACAGTACTTCTGACAGTTATTCAGCCAGTTCCTTCAATGTAGTTCATCCAATCCTAGAAGTTTAAACTCATTCAAAACAATAATGTATTCCTTGTTTATCAATGTCAAGCTGCAATCCTGTCCCTTCCGCTTGTATTTCACATTTGCCTGAAGGGTCATAGGTTGCCTTTTCGGAAAAGATCAAGTTAAAGTAGGAATTGAGCACTTCTGCCTTTTTTGTTGTTGTCTGTTAACATATTTCTGTCTCCATGATTGGCTGAGCCCTTATTTCTTTTCTCTGTCCTTTGGTACAGGCATACCTAAAGAATGCCTTTTTTTGTTGCTTTTAGCATCTCTTGATAACCTCAGTTCATTCTTCACTTTTGTCTTCCTAGCACCATCCCTGTTATTCTTTGCTCTTTGTCTGTACTCTTCCTTTGTGGCCCGAGAGTCCACCTATTTCCATATGACCTGTTCACTGTGTTTGAATGATAGGATCATGTCTCAAGCACCTGCCCCAGAAGTACACAACTCACTTATCTGGGCAGTTCGCCAGATATCAGGTTTGTCATTTCAGCAAACAATATTAAGGCTATTTCTTTGGCTAGAGATTAGTGGCTGATACTAGGCAGCTTTTACTTATTTATGTTTGTTTATAATTTGGATTTACACATATTTTAATAACAGCAAGGAATAAATTTTACACTACTTCTGCTTTTTTCAAGAAACATAGACTCTGAGGAGCCTCTGATGATGCCTTGTTCCCATGTTATTTGCCAAAATAATATTTAAGAATTTTCCATTTTAGTCCCAAATGCCGAGAGAAAATAAGTGAACTCCATGTTGTAGAGAATTTGTTGATGGTACTGCATGAATATGACTTGCTTTCTAAAAGGTAGGACATCTTTTTTGGTGATACTTTGTGCTGAAGTTTTCTGGCCACTTAGCCAATGTTCATGCAACTCCTCTCTCTTCTCAGCCATTCATTTTCTCTTTTTGAAGTGGAAGTTCTGAGGTAGATTTCCAGTCTAGTATTTTAGGCAAATAGTCCACATCTTCTCAATTGTGATAGAACATTTATGGCCTAAATTGATTTGTCAATCCTCATTGATTTATTTAAAAATAAATATGAAGTTGAATTCCTTCATCATTCATCTCCATCCCACCCCAACAAACCATAACATATTAAGTCTCAGCATATTTGTTCCAAGCTTGAGGATTGGTGAAATTGGCACAATTCATCATTATACAAAGTAGGCATGATTTTACTTAGTTTATTTTAAGATTACTGTTAGGGAACAATGTGATATGTTTGTAGCAATTTGAAATGATTGAAGAAGCATTTAATTAGTGTTATTTAAACTAAACTAAGAAGTTTGGTATAACAGCCTCTCAGTGTCATTAAAGGATAAATGCAACGATGTTAGATTATCTGGATGACTTTTTTAGGCAAACTGAGCTTTTGCTGCTTAGACGATGATAATGTGTTGGTTTCATTGTAGGTTGTCAGCAGAGTTGCTCCGCCTCCTCTGTTCAGAATCCCAAGTCAAAGAGCAAGTCAGAATATATGAAGGTATTCCCATCCTGCTTAGTTTGCTCCATTCAGACCACCTAAAGCTGCTGTGGAGTGTGGTCTGGATTCTGGTCCAGGTTTGCGAAGATCCTGATACCAGTGTGGAAATCCGTATCTGGGGTGGTATCAAGCAGCTCCTTCATATTTTACAAGGGTAGGTTTCTGCATTCATAACAAATAAGGCCGCTCTGAAGCTCCTTCTGATATTGCATAGATTGAGTTCCACGAATCCAACTTGAGTCAGTTTTGTCTCTAAAAATAAGATTTACTCTCAAAAACGGTGTGCTAAACCTATAAAAATTGGTGTCCATTAAGGGAAAGCTTTACCCATTAGAGCACAGCTTTGGCATGAAACAGCACAGTGAGTTTAATCCAAGATGAATCCATTAGCAGTCCTATTCCTGCTTACCTTGGATTAAGTTTTGCTAAATCAATATATGTTATGTGTCTAAATAACAGACTCAAAGTGTCTTATTTGTGAGTAGGGTGTTATTAGACTGTGGTGTTTGTTTAACCTATGCTACATCTTGAGCAACGTTTTCAGTGATTTCTATATGACCTTTGTACAATTGACATAATCAGGGTCAATAGCCCATTGAGATGAATGGCCTAATCTTCTAACTTTTGTTGTTTAGTCATTAAGTCATGTCCGACTCTTCATGACCCCATGGACCAGAGCACTCCAGGCCCTCCTGTCTTCCACTGGCTCCCGGAGTTTGATCAAATTCATGTTGGTCGCTTCGCTGACACTGTCCAACCATCTCGTCCTCTGTCATCCTCTTCTCCTCTTGCCTTTACACTTTCCCAGCATCAGGGTATTTTCCAGGAAGTCTTCTCTTCTCATGAGATGGCCAAAGTATTGGAGTCTCAGGTTCAGGATCTGTCCTTCCAGTGAGCACTTAGGGTTAATTTCCTTCAGAATGGATAGGTTTGTTCTCCTTGCAGTCCATAACCTTGCTAGTGTGTGAAATGAGTGCAATTGTATGGTAGTTGGAGCATTCTTTGGCACTGACCTTCTTTGGGATTGGGATGTAGACTGATCTTTTCCAATCCTCTGGCCACTGCTGAGTTTTCCAAACTTGCTGGCATATTGAGTGTAGCACCTTAACACCATCATGTTTTAAGATTTTAAATAGTTCAACTGGAATGCCATCACCTCCACTGGCCTTGTTGTTAGACATGCTTTCTAAGGCCCACTTGACTTCGCTGTCCAGGATGTCTGGCACAAGGTCAGCAACCACACTATCTGGGTTGTCTGGGACGTCCAAATCTTTCTGGTAGAATTCCTCTGTGTATTCTAGCCACCTCTTCTTGATGTCTTCTGCTTCTGTGAGATCTCTCCCATTTTTGTCCTTCCTCATGTCCATCTTTGCACAAAATGTTCCTTTAATATCTCCGATTTTCCTGAACATATCTCTGGTTTTTCCCTTTCTACTATTTTCCTCTATATCTTTGCACTGTTCATTTAAGGAGGTCCTCTTGTCCCTCCTTCTTGTTCTTTGGAAGTCTGCATTCAATTTTCTGTAACTTTCCCTATCTCCCTTGTATTTTGTTTCCCTTCTCTTCTCTGCTATCTGTAAGGCCTCGTTGGACAGCCACTTTGTTTTCTTGCCTTTTCTTTTCTTTGGGATGGTTTTTGTTGCTGCGTCCTGCACAATGTCCCGAGCCTCCATCGATGGATCTTCAGACACTCTGTCCACCAAATCTAGTTCCTTAAATCTGTTCTTCACTTCCACTGTGTATTCATAAGGGATTTGGTTTAGATTATACCTGACTAACCCTGTGGTGTTTCCTACTTTCTTCAGTTTAAGCTTGAATGTTGTTATAAGAAGCTGATGATCAGAGCCACAATCAGCTCCAGGTCTTGTTTTTCTGACTGTATAGAGCTTCTCCATCTTCTCCAATCTTCTCACTAGAGCTGTCCTTATCCTCCATAGTTACTTGGAGACTGGTTTTTTGAGACCTTCAAAGCACATGTTTATTATGTTCCTTTTTGTAGTAAATATCTGGCCCTTGTAATTTTAAACAATATGGAGGACAAATAGGCAGAACATTGTTGGTTTTTAACAGAAGTGGTACAAACGGAAAGGATTTTGTCCATTAAATTAATTCTGTTTTTATATTGTGAATTTACAAACTGAACTGACTTACAGACACAGTGGCTGAAATCCTGTTCACAATGGCATAATATAAAGTTATGACAATAAAAACGTGCTGAGCCTTTTACTTAGCCAGCCAGCATTGCATAATTTGATCATACATCTGATTGCATGAATCCCATCACAACTTTTATGTGGCATGCATGTGGAAGTTCCTCATGGATATTATGCCCTTCCAGCTACAATTTTCAGTACTGCTTCTATTGCTTTGTGTGGCCCATGTAGCACTACATAACAGGGCTTCAACCTGTATCTTTCATTGTGATGTAGTAACTGAGAGCAAGAATTAATTATTCACATTTTTTTCTCCCCATTGCTGTTTAGTGGTGTGAAAGGACCTATCTAGAAGTTTCATTGATTCATTTATACAGTGTTTTAGCTGCTGCTCCAAATTTACAAGTTTTTTTTTAAAGTTTAGTGCTCAAAGATGTATAGACATTTTTTGCTCATAATTTCAAAATAAATAGCTTTTAATTACCAAATGATTAACAAGTACATTCAACATTTTCACTGCTTTTCACTTTCCAGGGAGAGAAATCTATTTTCAGATCATTCTTCCATTGCAAGTTTATCTAGTGCAAATGCAGCAGGGAGAATCCAACAGTTTCAAATGTCAGAAGATTTAAGCCCTCATGAAATAAAAGAAAACATGGTTTCCCTTCAAGCAGGTACATTCATTACAAATAGCCCAGTGGTGATTTTTATACAGAGTAATATTCTGAATCCAAGCAATATTCAGCAGTCTCTTGAATTACTGAAACAATTCTCTAGATTATAAGTAAACCTTCATTTATTGTGACTCTCTATAAGTTTAAAATAAACCTACATTTTTAAACAGTTGTGAATCAACTTGTAGGTTATACTTCTGATGTATAACAAAAGAGGAGTGTGTGTGTGTGTTCTACTCTGGTCCTGGGTTTATTTTGAGGGGGGGGAAAGAGGTTGTGAGAATGGGAGTTGACCAATAGAGAGAGAATGCTTGCCTAAAATGGGTATTTAGTTGATGCAGAAAACTGGTTAAAATGAGTGGTTTATTGTACTGAGTCTCAGACATCATCTCTGCATTATATCAGACAGTTGAGAAATCTACACACTAGTTTGTCTTCTGTGATGTGGGTGCTTAGTGGCTAATTGTGCCACTACTACTACCACCACCACCACCACCACCACCACCACCACCACTTTAATACTAATACTAATAATACTAATGCTACTACTAATAATAATTTCCTGTATTAGCCATGTCATAATGATACCAATGGCAGACTCTAAAATTGAGCTGGAAGCAAGCATCGCGGACATAGCTCCTCAACAACAAACTAAGTGTCATCTAGGCCTTCTACAGCACTCCTTTTTGTCTTGAGCACCTTACCCTAATTTGCGATCCCTTTCTTTGTTTAATTTCAAAGGCAAACGTGTTTTGTCCTTTTCCCTGTTTGAAATTATAGTTGCCATTCACATTTGCAATAATTGACAAAGAGTTTTTTATTGGCTCTGCTTAAGGCTGCAGCCTGCCGAGTACTAAGGGGCATGTAGCAGATTGTCCATCATGTTTTCGTATAGTGTGATTATTTAGGGCCATTTTATGTATCAAAGACAAATCAAGAAGGAAAAAGGAATGTGTATTTGGAGATCTAAAACCAACAACACTCCACACCTAATGTAGCTATATGACATCTCATTTTCCAATCTGGTAGTTGTGGTCTTTGCTTTTAAAGTTTTTAAATTTAATTCTGAAATATAATGTCTGAATGGTCCAATGACACTGCTTACTATTCCATTTAACTCCTCCAAAGTGAACAGACTGTAATTATTTTTTGTAAACAATGCATACACATAGCAGACACTTTATTTTATTCTCCACAAGTGCACTTTGAGATGTATATTTGTGGTGATGTATTCTAGCTTGCTGTGCTGCAATTACTGAACTCGTCCTTAATGATACCAATGCTCACCAAGTAGTTCAGGTAAGAGACCCTTAAATAGTTTTAGTGAAACCATAATTTATCCCTTTAGTCTTATCACGTGCGCTTACTGGTTGTGAATCTTGATAAATGTTGTTCTGTTGTGGTTCAGAAAAAGTGTATAAACACTTAAAGGTGGTATTATGCAAACAGAAGGTTTAATTTTCAAAAGCAGAATATCCCTTGTGCCATAAGAAGTTTGAGAACAAATGAAATGTTCTACAGACTTTTAAGCAAAAGCCAGATTGCATAGAAGGAAGGCACAGTCTGGCCTTATAAGGTCCTAGCTAGAGAAACGATAGATAAGGCAATAATTCAATGGTTAAATGAGCTTTGATTCTGATCCTGTTGACTTAATTAAAGAGACACTGAAGCTTGTATGGTTGAAAGAATATGAAGAGAAGGAAGCGAGCAGGATTGATTAGATGTAAAGAGAGGAGATAAGAGAAAACACACCCATAGTGGATTTTTGGTGGATCTCAGTCTTAGGTAAATGTCTGTCATCTATAAAGTACTGTGAGGCACTAGATAGTGAGGGAGCAGGTGGCTCAGTCCCATGCATTCTCAGCCAGAGGTCATGCAGAATGCAGAATATTCGTCTTCACTGATTGGATTGCAGAGTTGGTTTCAGTAGATTGATAGCTACTTCCACATAAATGTGATAGAAAATTTGCCATTTCTTTACATGTGTGAGTAGGGGTCCAATTAACAGCCACATTAGCAAAAGAGAATTGATAGTTCTAATGGCGAAGAAATGGAGGATGGAGAAATTCCTGGAAGGGCAGTTGTTGGGGAGCAGTGGTAATGGAAGGTGGCACTGAGAGAGGGCCTGTCACAGGCAAGGGCAATGACTCAAGCTAAATTTTGTTACAGTTGCACAGGAGAAGGTAATGGGAAAACATTACTGAATATTTTAGACCCCGGAAACCCTGTGATGAGACAATCCAAAACAGTACTGGAAAATGAGATTGCCAGGTCAAAAGGCACTCAGCTGCTGGGGAGGATGAGTACAAATGGTGCTGCCACTTTAATTGAGTTAAAGCCAGAAAGATGTATAGTTGCTAATGTGAACAGAGGTAAATGTCTGCTGTTGACAACACATATAATGAAATATGAAGTGGGAAAAGCATGAATCAAGCTAAACGTGAAAGTGTAAAGCAGGAAATGGAGCACTGACTTTGTGTCAGTAAATTAAAGCAGACTGGAATGGGACATTTTAGTCAGATCATCACAAAATGTTTTATTCTGGAAATGACAGAAGAAACAGTGTGGCCCTGGCAGCACAAAGGGATTGGTGGCTATAATACAAAATCTGTTGAGGTGAAATCAGTCAGACATCATGGAAAGCTTATCAGCATAACCATAGTTCAGGGCTATGCTCTAACTACAGATGCTGAAGAAGAAAAATGAAAAGATTGCATGCAAGTGTCCAGGAAGAAATGGATCACACATCAGCATAGAATGTGCTGAAAATCATAGGTGTCAGGAATCCAAAAGTAGGAAATGAAACAAAGAACTGGCCTAGGAGTCAGAAATTATGCAGGAGACTGACTTGAAGAATTATGTGAAGCCAACAATTTTTACTACAAATACATGCTGTAAGCTGCCCAAGAGACAATTGTACAAATGGACATCACTGGATGGGCAGCAACAAAATCTATAATTTCAAGCCAAACATGAAGAAACTCTATTCTTTATGCAGAAACAGGACCTGGAGCACATTGTGGTACAGGCCAGAAACTTCTAATATAAAACATTAGGGCAAAGCTTGGAGCTTGAGTAGAACACTGAGAAATTGTAATGCCAGAATATAAACTAAGTAATATTCTTGACAAATTAAAAATCTATTTAAAGAACAGATTTGCATTATTGAACTCATTTGTTCGTGTACCAGAACTGTGGACTGAAACCAGAGAAGATATTAGGGAAGGATGTAAAAAAGAAAAAAAATCCTGTAGTCAAAAGAAGAGCCTCAATGGATAATTGATGAAACTCTTAAAATGGTTAACAGTCAGTGAGAATCAAAAATAAAAGGTAATTGGAATGTGACCAGAAACCAAAATAAAACTTGTCAGTGAGTGTCACGTAAGGACAAACAGAACTATTACAGTAATAACTGCAAAGGAATAGAAGAGAAAATAACGAAAATGGAAAACAGCAGATCTTTACCAGAAGATACAAGAAATCAAAGGGAAATGCTGAATTGTCAACAAGGAAATATATTATTTGATCAGAAGAAAAGCTGCAGGATGGCACATTCCTTTAAAACAACAATCCCTTGATAGAAAACCTGCAGTTCTGGAAAGAGAAGTGAAAGCTACTTTTGAAACACTAAGAAGGTTTCAAAAGTAACTTTCACTTCTCTTTCCAGAACTGCAGATTCTCTATCAAGGGATTTTTGTTTTAAAGGAATGTGCCATCCTGCAGCTCTTCTTTTGATCAAACATATTCTTGTTAGAATTCTAACAGATACAGTCTCTGGAGCTATTTCAAGCTACAGAGACTGAATATGTTAAAATTATAACAGGAATATGTCAATCAAAAGCAAAAAAGGCTTACAAACTGCAGATTATCAGAATAAATTCTAATAATGAAGAAATAAATGACCAAATATTGCATGAATTTCACCTATAATCAAAGTTTTTAGAACAAACACATTTACTGTATCTGGCATGAGAAGAGCCAAATGTTCAAGGTGGATTCAGAAAAAGAAGGGGCAGTAGAAATCATATTGCTAATACATGTTAGCTACTGGTGTATACCAAATAATTTCAGAATGGCTCATTTTAAAGAAGAAGAAGAAAGAGAGGGGCCACAACACTTTATTGTCCTTATTTGTATCCTGGACAACAGGTTACTGGTAGGACTTCTTTTGGAGAAACAAAATAGTTTTTTTTATTAGCAAAGATGTATTTTATGTCCCTATCCTTATGGTATATATGCAGAATTTACCATACTTTTATGTCCCTATGGTGCTGTGGGTTAAACCACAGAAGCCTCTGTGCTGCAGGGTCAGAAGACCAGCAGTCGTAAGATCAAATCCATGCGACGGAGTGAGCTCCCGTCACTTGTCCCAGCTCCTGCCAAACTAGCAGTTCGAAAGCATGTAAATGCGAGTAGATAAATAAGTAACACCTCGGTGGGAAGGTAATGGCGTTACATGTCTAGTTGCGCTGGCAACGTGACCACGGAAACTGTCTTCAGACGGGGATGAGCACCGAGCCCTAGAGTTGGACACGACTGGACAAAATGTCAAGGGGAAGCTTTACCTTACCATACAAAAAACTGGGTTAAGTTCAGGTGAAGTAGGAGTGAAAATTCATGGAAGAAACTTCAACAATATAACATATGCAGATTACATGATAGTTCAGTTAGTTTTGATTCTTGCTTCTCATTTGTTCTTAACTATTTTAAAGTTTTATCAGTCACCCACTGAGGCTTTTAAATTTTTAAATATAGGAAGCAACAATGACTTGAAAATAACTGATGATGAATGTGGAAGAAGAGGAAAAGTAGAAGTGCAGCTGAATAGTGAGGAAAAAAATAATGACTACAGAAGGATTACTATAGAAGAATTATATTTTAATGTTGATAATGAAGAAATAGGAACCATAGATTTTTAAAACTTTGGCTAAATCATGATTCCAAATGGGGACTGCAGCCAAGAATTCAGAAAAAAGACTGAGATTTGGACTGGCAACTATGGGGCAAGAGAAGAAGATCCTGAAGTGTATTGATGTGTCATTGGAACTGAAGGCCAAGATCATCAATACTATGATATTCCCAGTTACTATGAGTGGACATGAAAGCTGGACAGTGAACAAAGCAAACATTGATTCATTTGAAATGTGGTATGAAGCAAAGCTCTGTGGGTACCACAGACCATTGAAAAGACAAATAAGTGGGCTCTGGAATAGATTCTCTTTGTCTCACTACTTGCAAAAGTAACTAAACTGAAGTTACTGTATTTTAAATATCATGAGAAGGTAAGACTCATTGGAAAAGACAATAGTTGTAATTAGATATGGGGTAATAGTTGTAATTAGAGATGGGGGTATTTGTATTTGTATACGAATATCCCTGCACAGATGGAAATAATGTGGGTCCAGCCCCATGGAGCCAGACTGTCCACTCATGATTTCGCTGCCACTGCTGGCTCCGCAGAGGCTTCCTATCACGCTATTGTCCACAATTGATTACCCACTTCTGGCAGGAAGCAGGATGACAAGCCTCTCTGCTAGGCTGGAGAGTGGCTAATCCATTGTGGAGAATGGCGTGATAGGACGCCTCTTCTGAGCCGGCAGCAGCAGCAAAGCTGTGAGTGTACAGTCCAGCCCCATGGGACCGGACCCTTGTTATTTCCACCTATGTGGGGATAGTTGTATATGAATACCCCCATCTCTAGTTGTAATCCAGCAGTAAGTCATAGCTGGAGTATGCCCACTGAATTAATGGAATATATGGAGAAGCTGACTCATCAAATGTCCACTGATACAATGGGACTGTTCTAGTTGTGATTTACAGCCAATTAGTTTAGGGAAATTGAAAGAGGGAGGAAAAGAGCCAGCCTGAATTAGAGATGGATAGACTCACTAAAGGAAGTCACAGTCTTTTATCGGCAAGATTTGAACGTTATTGGGATAAGACGTTACTGAGGTCATTAATTCATAGAGGTGTTGTAAGTATGACTTGATGGCATATAATAATGAAGGAATAGAATGACAGCTGACTAAATTTCTCATGTACATTGACTGAAACTGTGTCAAGAGGAAGAAGCACCTTGCTGAGGATTTTTAAAGCCCCTTAACTTTGTCAATTCCAGCAGAGTGAGACAAAAGTTTTCTTCTACCCAGTTTTCTTTCACTTATGCAAAATGTCTCTATTTTCTTTTTGTTTTGAGAAGCAAGATGTGCATGAGTACACATACACACACATATACAGTACACACTGATGATTATGAAGAAAGACCATTCCATGCTTCATGTTCTTAAAGCAGCAATGGACAATTCATGCACCTTGCATGTGTTTGCACAAAACTGGCAAATTTTGGACAAGAATGGGCAAACATTTTGCACAGAACATAAATAAGCCTTGCTAATGCAAGAAGTTTGCTGAGAACACCAGGAATTTTCTTGGTATTTCAGCAACAAGGACAAGAATGCTGTGGGTCCCATGTGGGGATGAGACAAAGATGTGCCTAAATTATTATCAGACATTTGTCTGTGGTGTAATTAAATACTGAATGCATGTTTTCTCAGGAAAATGGAATCTATACGATAGCAAAGCTGCTTGTACCTGACAAAGAGAGGAATGTAGCAAAAGCTAATTTACTGCAGGTAATCCTTTTACTTTATTTACAAGGTCCTCAAGCACAAACAGGAGAAATATTATGGTTCATTATATATTCTGTAGCATCTGTGTCTGCTCTGTTAATTACACTGCAGAATAACAAGCAAAATATGAAACTAAAGTTGAAACATTTATAAATACAGTACCAACACCATACTTCTAACATCTCATATGGTGTACATAGAAAGATCTGATATGAAATAATACAGCATATGAAGTACACCAGAATTCTGGTGCATGATATGCAAGATTTTGTTCTGTGAAATTATTGGCCATGACAATTTGAACATTTTGACAGGAATGAATTTTTAGACCTATTTGTTTTTCCTCTGCTGCTCTGCTTTGGTTCCTAAGCCCATATCCTGTTGCGGATATCTATGTGCAGGTAACATGGTACAAATGGTTGCCTAACAGACACCTCACTAAAATACACAATCAGTTGCACAACATTAGCTGCACATTTGCAAATCCTAAACAGGATACCAACCTGAGGCTCTTTACAGCATTTGAAAATGGCAAACAACAATGAAAGGACAGAGAAGTGTTGAGAAGTAGGGTAAGTAGAATGAGTGACCCATGGGAAGCAGTGAGAGATAAGTAATCAGAATCAAAGTAAATTAAAATATATCAAGTTAAAACAATTAAGGCTTAAGTATTGGACTCTGAAATTGTTTATTACGGATAAGAAGTGATATAATGATAATAGTATTAATGAAGTATTAATAATAGTAAGATCACCACAGTATTCTTTTCCTAGGTTCCTTGGGAACCATCATGGATGTTTTCAATTGTTACTTATAAATTATTTAATAGAGAAAAAAGATGAAACAACATAGTCATCTCCTGCTTTTTTTCTTTGATTTGTTGAAAAAGCTGTTTTAAGTAAACTTTAGGTATAATAAAATAAGTCATATAAATAATAAAGTCATATACTGTAAATAACTTGTCACTGATGTACAGTCATGGCCAAAAATATTGGCACTCTTGCAATTCTGTCAGAAAATTCAACCCTTTTCTCATTGCTGGCCATTTCAGAACTCTCCAGCACTTTGTTTGTAACCATTTCTGAGTGCTTTTTGAAGTGTGTTTCAAGACATTGTCATGCTGGAAGACCCATGACCTCTGGTGGAGACGCAGCTTTCTGCCACTGGCCACTATGCTGTGCCCCAAAATTCTTTGGTAATCATCAGATTTCATGATACTGTTCACACAGTCAAGGCATCCAGTGCCAGAAGCAGCAAAGCAACCCCAAAACATCTTTGAACCTCCACCATGTTTGACTGTACGGACTGTGTTCTTTTCTTTGAATGCTTCATTTCTTTTTCTGTAAACAGTGCCATGATGTCCTTGACCAAAAGGCTCTACTTTTGTTTCATCTGTCCACAGTATGTTCTCCCAGAAGGATTGTGGTTTTGTCACATAGGTTTTGGCATACTCCAGTCTTGCTTTTTTATGCATTTGTGTCAGCAGTGGTGTCCTCCTGGGTCTCCTTCCATAGCGTCCCTTGTCAGTCAGATGGTGACGGATAGTGAGCGCTGACACTGTTGTACCCTGTTTCTGCAAATCAGCTTGAATTTGTTTGGAAATTAATCTGGGTTCTGTATCTACCATTCAAACAACCCTTCGTTGTAATTTTTCAGTAATTTGTCTCTTCCATCCATGTCCAGAGAGGTTAGCTACAGTGCCATGGGCTGTAAATCTCTTGATGATATTGCGCACAGTGGACACAGGAACATTAAGATCTCTGGAGATGGACTTGTAGCCTTGAGCTTGTCGATGTTGTTCCACAATTTGTTCTCTCAAATCCACAGACAACTCTTTACACTTCATTCTTTTCTTCATGCTCAGTGTCACAACAGTTGAGTCAACTTCTCTCCATCTTAACTGGTTGCAAGTGTGATTACAATATTGCCCACACCTCTGACTTGCGACAGGTGTGTCTAAATTCAAAATAAAGGAGGATCACATGCTTGAGAAGCAATTATTTCTTACAATTTTGACAGGGTGCCAGTAATTTTGGCCAGTGCATTTTTGGGTTTCTGTGTGGGATTGTATCAGATTTGATTTTTCTTCCTTTTTTTGTGTTGTTCCAACGCAAACCAAAGAACTGAATATGTCAGTACCAAAACATTTGCAACGGCAACAATTTTGTGAGAGAAGGGTTGCATTTTCTGACAGAATTGCAAGGGTGCCAATATTTTTGGCCATGACTGTATGTGTCTAGCTAAGATTCTAAATATACAAAATCCACTTCTAAAAGGGCTAATCTTTTGATTATTTTCATACTGCTTGATTAAACACAGATTTATAATGCAAGTAGGGAAATAAGGTTTTAGTTCCAACAAACTTCTATTGCCAGTAGCAACAGTTTTTACCACCGTACACAAACCTGAAATGAAGTTTGATGTCTTTTAAAACCTGCAGTAAAATATTTCTCATTATTTTTTCAATACGGCATCAGGGATTCAGGCAACCTACCTTAGCTATAATCAGCTTCTCATTTCACATGCTACTGGCATAGACTATTTAAACAAAAGGAACAAAATTTGATTAGCAATGTTTCTGCATGGAATTATCTATAATATATGCATTTTTATCATTCTAGTGTTATGCTTTCAGAGCCCTGAGATTTCTTTTCAGTATGGAAAGGAACAGACATCTCTTCAAAAGGTATGCAAATGATTATTAGGAGAGATTATACTCTAACAATGTTCATTTGAATTGTGACAAAAATTCCGCAGGCTAATAGTCAGCATTAGGCTTAAAGCCTTATTCGCTAATTTTTAGCTAGCAGAGCAGAGAACAAAATGCAGGAAAAAATAATGTCAGTATTTTCCATGGATGTGTCTATGACAAAGGTGCAGCTATACTTCAGGACCAGTTCAGAAGTCCAGCTGGTATGTGGAAATCTCTAAAAAAAAGTGTGAAGTCTCCAAGTTGGCATTATACATTTTAAAGTATGGCATGAAAGCAGCAAAAACGCAATTTACATCAGAATAAATGCACTCTTTTCTGAACTGTGGAAGATGCATCAAGAGGGACTGAAATGTGCTTAGAAATTGGAAAATGAGCAATGTATAGGATGAATTCAGCCCTCTATGGCTTTCAGGGCAGAGAGCCTGCACAATATTGAGCTGAGCAATGATATCATTATAAGAGGGAGTTAAGAATGTGCCATCTTGTGTTGCAGTTCACAATGTTAATGTTAAAGCATCATTACTGTCTGGAAAATAGAGTTCCATCTCAAAATTTTGGTTGTATAGAGTCAGCAAGATGCCAAAAGAGAGTATTAAGTAGATCATCTTGCAGCTATAAGAAAGGTTTGTGCCCATTCTTGGAATTGATACATTTGGAATGGGGATTGTGACAATCAGGTATGACCCTCCAAGGTCCAAGAAAGGGGGTGGGCCCCAGACCTCTGGTGATCATCAAACTTGATAAATACCTGTCCTTACCAGTAGTTAAATTATATTTTCTTTTTAAAATCATAGTTCGTCTTTCTCTATAGTATTATAGTTGGGATGCAGGATGGAGTCTGTTATATTCATCAGTTTTTAAATATTAAGGACCCTTCTTGGACACAAAAGCATTCATCTTACTTTTATTACATAGGAATTGGCCAATAGAGACAATATTCCATTTTTGGCTCCTTATTCCTCATAAAGCCCATTTTGAAGAAAGCCCCAAGTGAAATTAGAAATGGCTACCTAAAATATCATTTCCAGTGATTGTAAAACTGATGGCGGAACTGGTGATACATTTAGTACATTTTAGAAGAGGTGCTCCCTCAAGCAGTAAATATGTTTTTTATCATGGTATAAAATTTTCCACATCTTGCATTTATCATGCTATCCTTTCTCATTGGTCAGTAGAAGCTAAACACCAGCTTAATTTACAAATCTGGTTGCTGAAGCACATATGTCTGGTGGAAACTTACTTTCTGAGGGGAAACTGTTTAATCACAGGGCATATAAATTCCTTTCAACATCTACCGTATTTTTCGCTCCATAAGATGCACCTCAACATAAGACGCAGCTAATTTTTAGAGGAGAAAAACAGGAAAAATATTCTGAATCAAATAGTGTAATAAAGATGTATGGTATCTGTATAGGCAGAGTGGTCCCACATGAAGAGGTACAGTGGTGCCTTGCATAGCGATCACTCCATTTAGCAATGAAATCTCTTTGCAACGAAGATTTTGTGATTGCTTTTGCGATCGCTTTGCGATGTTCCCTATGGGGTATTTTCGCTTTGCTATGACCTATCATCGCAAAGCGACCATTTTTGCACAGCTGATTGGCAGTTTCAAAATGGCCACCGGGGAAAAGGCCACCCGCTGTTTTCTGGGATGGATTCCTCGCTTAAGAGGCACCAGAAATGGCCG